CAGTTCGTTTGGTGACTGTTTGAAGTTACAACGGCACTGAAAAAAGTGGCTTATGACCTTTTTTTCACACTTAACAACCCTTGTAGCAATTCCCCACGGTTGCGTGGTTTACATGCGGATGCTTGCAACTGACTCACATTTATGACGGTTGCAGCGTCCCGGGGTCACGTGATCCCCTTTTGTGATACTTTCTGACAAGCAGAATCCATGGGAAAGCCAGATTCACTTAACAGCGCTGTGACTCATTCAACAACTGTGGTGATTCACTTGACAACTGTGGCAAGAAATGTCGTAAAATGGGGCAAACCTCACTCAACAAATTTCCCCCTTAGCGACATAAACTTTGGGGTCAAATGTGGTCGTACGTGGAGGACTGCCCATATATCTTTTGCCTCCCTTTTGCCCTGTTCTAGTGAATGCTACAGTTCATTGCCATTTTGTTTTCATTTTTTGGGTCACTCTTTACTAGTTTTTGTTGCCCAGCTAAGTTCTGTTCGTATTTTAATCTAAATTTCCTCAGAATTCAAGTATGACCAAAGATTGTCAAAGCAGTTGATTTATCAATAGGATGTATAAAGGGTAGAAGCCTGATGTTCTTTCTGAGAGACCCAGATATTACAGACACCAGGATACAACTTGAGCCAACTTTGCTTTGTGCAATATGCTCAGACATTAGAATGAACAGAAAAATACAGCGAATTGATGCAGACTTTCATTTGACTTCGATCTGTTACCTCACAAGCTCACCACTGCAGAACACAAAAACGTTTATTCAGTCAGCGACCAAGGCAGTAACTAGGGAACGGCACCTTGTATTTTTCTCTTGAAAGAACACAAATTAATTGTGTCTACATTTGCATGTATATTAGCCTCTTGTGCATTCTCTGCCCTCTGTTTGGGATATGGCATTCAAAGTGGCGGTGCTAATTTTCTGAATTACTGAACCAATGTGAGAAACTCTTGACATGGAAGGGAAAAATGAAGAAAAAAAAAAAACCCGAAACCAAACCAAATCCCAGTTATTGTACAATTTAGAAAAACAAAAATGACTGTTTACATTTCCCCTGAGTTTTAGGGATAGTCTAATAATAGTTTTTCAAAATTTCCTTTTAGAAAGGGGAAATTCTCTGATTTTTGTTAGGGACTTGCCCTCTAACTGCCAGTGGGCCGGAGGAGAAAATTCGTTAGGGTTGGTGTTGGGAAATTACCAGCCAGGCAAGGAGGAGGGATCAAGTGGGGAACTAGTCTTGAGTCACTGCATAGCTGCAAGATGGGCCCCTCTACATACCCCAAGGGAAAACAAGCAGACTAGGGAGATTCTTGTATTATAAGTAGAATACAGTAGTCAATTTGAGCCCTTCATGGGTGGATCCGATTGCTTGTGCCTGGCAGTTTGGAAAAGGTAAAAGAAAACAAACCTTTGTCATGGAGGTGGGTTGGAACCCAAAGGTAGCAAGGCTTTTCCCACTGCTTGTAGACTGTTGGTTTTATTATGCAAACTATTTGGGCTTTCCCTTCAGTCAAAAGAGAATAGATGAAAGTGCCACCTGGATAAACATTAAATACAGGTAGTCCTGAACCACAGAGCCATGGTGGCGCAGTGGTTAGAATGCAGTATTGCAGGCTAACTCACTGCTCACTGTCGGGAGTTCGATTCTGACCGGCTCAAGGTTGACTCAGCCTTCCATTCTTCCAAGGTCGTTAATGTGAGGACCCCGGGTTATTGGGGGCAATATGCTGACTCTGTAAACCACTAGAGGGCTGTTAAGCAATATATAAGTCTAAGTGCTATTGCTATTGCCTAGAGCTTTTGGGCACCAGGGACCGGTTCTGTGAAGAGGTTTTTCCATGGACCGGAGGGTGCATGGTTTTGTGTGTTGCCTGCATTTTGCGGATGTTTATTTATGCAGATTGGTTGCTGGCATGCCGCGGCCCAGTACCAGTCCACAGACCGGGGGTTGAGGACCCCTGACCTAGACAGCCATATTAGCTCAATCAACCCTAACGATCAGTGGGGTGACACATCCAGATCAGCCTCACATCAATTAGGAATAACTTCAGTACAGTAAACCGTCTTCAAATCGTGTAATGATTTCTAAAGGAAGGAAAACAAAAGGTAAATTACAAAGCAATTTTAAAATGACTGGAAGAATATGCTGTCAGCTGACAGCACAAAATTTGTAGCATTGACCTCGGCTACACTGGAATGAAATGAACCCTCTGTCGTCCAGGGGCCATCCCAGAGAAGATGTCTCATGGTGAAATCTCCTGGCAAGACTACATCCACCAGGGGCTCCTCTGAAGGTTGTATGGCAGGTTATAGTAGGAAGGTACAAAGAGACACACCTTCTGGAATTGTGTCCAAGCCATGTAACACTTCAAAGGGTGTGAGCTCAGATGTGAGCAGGCAACCAGCGAAGCTGGGTCAGACTCTGGTAAAATTTCCATCTGGTTGCCCTGGTTAAAGATCTTCCGTTTTTGCTGAGCATTCTCCATGAACATCTTGATAGGTATTTTAATCTGCAATGCATCATAGGTTGTTACCTCTATCAGGGTCAAAATCTGCAAGGGGCATGACATCATGGTCACAGTCTCACTCATTGTGTACACAGATATGGGGTGGGACTCTGATTGTGACGTTGCATTCATCATCTGGCAAATTTGGAGAAATTTTGCATCTCCCAAGCCTTCCTGTCCTGCAGATTTGTGGGGGACCACAGTTCATGGTATTTTCCTCCTCCATCACGTCGAGTTACTGGTTCTCATTTCCTTCTGCAAAAGGCCTGTGTCATTTAGCCTGAGTAAAATCTTTAGCAGAACATTCTTTGAAGTAGATCATTGAAAGTATTTGTTCTTCAATCTCTCCTAGGAAATAACTGTGCAAATATAAGAATGTGTACAGTGTAGGGCACTCTTCTCCACAAGTGCCGTCCAAATACATCAGACTGCAACTTGCAAAGTTCCCAGCCATCATAATGGCTGGGAAAGACTTGTATCAGGGCTGGGTTGAGTAGTCCCCATTTTTAATTGAGTAGTCCCCATTTTCAATTTTCATTTTGGCTAGGAATCCATTGGGTTACCTTGGACAAACCACTTTCTCAGTAATACTGCTTCAGAAACCATCTAACACTATCTGGGATTTACACCACGTGATGCACTTATCACGAGATTTAAGAAGCTTGCACAAATGTTAGGAGAGTTAGAATAAGATCACTGATTCCTCACATTTCTCCAAAGAGTTGAAGGTAATGCAACATTGAGTTGTCCTCAATGACCTATGGAAAGTTACTGTTGCATTGTATTGACCTCATTCAATCAAGTACAATAGATCAGATGGAACAGTTAAGGCAATATACTTTTGAGTGATTTAGGCCATCCTGTAGTCAGGGAAAGCCTGTCCTCGTTACTAGTATTTTAGCACAACAGTAGCTGAATGTTAGAAGTTCCTAATAAGCAACTAGGTGGTGATCTACTCAAGACTAGCCAGGGAACCTTGTTGGGAGCAATGATTTAATTGTGGACCTTGTCCAAATTTTAACACACTAACACTATTTAGTTAGACAAGTTTGGCAACTGATCTCCTTGAACTCCACAATCATCTCCTCCTCCTCCTCCTCCTCCAACTGCAGAGTTCACTTTTTTTTCTAGACCAACCAAGTGTGATCATTGGTTTGTGACAGGAATTGATCAACCAGCTTGTTGCCCAAGTCTAACTTCATGGGCTGAGTGAAAAATGACAAACGTTAGTGGGTATACACAGCACACACATTTTATAGAATAAGTGGAAAAATAGCTGCCATGATGAGCATAGTCAAAACATTGATGTACCAGGAGATTCCCTAATGCCAAATATTTTTGCTGTGTTCTATAATAGTTATTTAGAACAAATGAAAACACTTTCTGACAAATACTGTGTTGGCATTTTGCTTTGTGGCATGCCAGCTTCCCTTTATTTTATTAAAGGAAGCTTAGAAAAGAAAGCAATGCAAAAAAATGTTTGAGTGCTGTGGGAGGCTTTTATAGGCTGCTATCTGCAGGGAGCACACAATATATCCATTTTTAATCCCTTCTCGACAGGTTAAGAGCACTTTTGAGAATATGGATTAAACTCATATCACATGCCTGGCTCAAAATCCAGATTATTGTTACTTCCTCTGCTCCTGTTGTTTATTTTCTTTAAAAAGTTATTGGGACAGTTTCTAGAATGTTTCTCCTTGTCTGCTTATAACATAGATTAAAAAAGACAAAGCTAATAATTGAAGTTATTCCTTCAAAAGCTAATGGGCTTTTCCCATCCTAGCTGCACTCCAAATAGACAGGGACTCCACTCTGCAAAATTTCATGGGTCAAGAATTTTGAGGTTGCTTTCCAGCCTGGGAAAAGTTGTAAGCCAAGTTTTAATTTATCTCCCGTTTTGTTTTTGTTTTTTTTAAACAGCAAACAACGATAGCAGCACAAAAAGTGCAAACTGTGTGTATTTCTTTCAGGGTTGTAGGAATATTGACAGTCATCTGCCTGAATTAAAATATTGTAGTCTGTTTATAGCCTTGTAGCCTTAATCTGATTTAATTTGTCTTCCTCTGTGCTATTCCTGCACACATGAACACTTTTAAAAAAAAGAGAAGCTGAATATGAAGGCTAGTGCAACAGTCTGTTGTCTGAAGTTGACATGGTGATATGGCCTACAGAACCATCTTGCAAACTACTTTGTGGACTTCCTTTTCTTTCCTTTTCTTCTTCTTCTTTGAGTGCCAAGCAAGGAACGAGGAACAGAATGCTTTTGCTTATTCATGGTTTGTTAAATAGACTCCAGTTGGCTGGATTTCTTTAACCACTAAGCTCAGCCTGAAAAAGCCAGATTATTTTGTAACACAATGCGTAAAGCTATCCTTTATGACCACAGACCTGCTCAGGAGTATTTTGAAGAACTGGTAGCGTGCAAGGTGCCTTTGGTGTGCAGAAGACCTTGGCCCTCACTCTGCGCGTGCTTCTCTTTGCAGAGGGATGCTAGCAGTGCCTCGGAATGCCTTATGTAGACCGTCAGAATCGAATTTGCGGATTCCTGGACATTGAGGATAATGAAACCTGTGGAAAGTTCCTGCGCCGGTATTTTATTCTGGATACCAAAATCAACAGTCTTTTGTGGTACATGGACAATCCTCAGGTGAGTCCCTCCCTATAAGCACTTTGTTAAGTTCATAAAAACCCTCATTTAAGAACATTAAGGGGATAGGTTAGATGGGCGCAGATGTTTTCTCAACTTTCTCATGGGACTAAGGTCCAGTTACAAATCATATTCCTGTAGACTCATGAAAGCAATTAATGCTTGTGGTCTAAAAATTATAAATGATTTTCTGTGCAAAATGTCTTCCCCCTCCCCTCCCAAATTACCAAAAGATACAATTGCACTTTAATGTGTGTTCCTGTCCATTGTTTCTGAAACAATCCGGAAAATTGTCATAAGATACATTTGTTTATTTAATTGCGTAACTATAGAATCAACATAAAAGACAATCATTATGTCAATCATCGAATTAGATTTGGATTTAATGGACATTTGGATTTAACAGACACCTTTTCAAATGGTCGATAAATGGAGAGTCTCTTTTTGAATCCTACCCTCTAATTATGCTTAAATAGATCCATGCTTAATAAAATATATCTACAATGTTTATAGGACATTCAGATATGTGTCAAAGTTCATAACTTTTTTTTATCTTTGACAGGGATACTTATGCATGTGTAACCATATAGATAATCTAGGTATGTAATTTATATGCCAGAAAGCAGAAGTAAACCTAAAGCTTATCACTTAACTTCTGTATACAGTAAAGCCTTAATTTTATGGACCATTTGAAAAGGTGTCTGTTAAATCCAAATGTCCATTAAACCCAAATTGATGCAATTGGCATGATTTGTCCCTTGCTGTAATTTGGTTATTAACACAGTGATGTCGGTTGAGTCCACTTACTTCATACTTCATAATGCAAAATTATACAAGAGATGCAATTATGTTGATTCTATTGCTATGCAAATGGACAAACAACTGTATCTTTTGGTGATTTTTCCAAACTATCAGAAAAATTAGACAGGAGCATACATCAATTCTGAAGATTTTAAAAATTAAAGTACAATTGAAACCATAGGTTTTCTGTTGGGATTAATGGACAGATAACAAGAAGAAAGTCATGGAACTTTGTTTTATGTAGAACAACTGCAGTGAAATAAATTACATGCTCAAAAGTGGAAAATGCCATAAATAAATAAATAAATAAATAAATAAAAAATAGAAGAAGTTTCCGATTTCTTTTGCAGCAAATATAAATGAGATTATAAAGTTATCTCTTATTTTATGATTACAAAAAAATCTCTTTTTTCTATTATCTATTTTTTTTCTAATAATCAAAACTGCAAGTTATAAGTGCATTTTTTTTTCTGTTTCATGCAAAAAGTCTGTGAGGGCTTTGCCATTGGCCATAAATAATTATCTTTTCTCTAATCAAGGAAACCAATTTAGCCCTTTTTTGCAAGTTCCATCATCTTCACCAACCGTTCCACTATTGTGGGTAGTATCAAACCTTTTCACTTTTGAACATATACTAATCTTGCTGCAGCTGTCATGTATTTTAAAAAAAAAAAGCAATATATTGTGGGAGTCTATTAAGGCCAAAAGAAAAGTCTCTAGTTTCAACTGTACGTTAGTCTGTAACATTTTCTGAATTGTTATATTTACTTATTGTATGTCCAAAAATTATTGGCTTTTTTTTTAATGCAACCACCATAGATGATAAAATGTCCCTTCGTTGTAATCCCACATTCCTAATGAGAAAATTTGAGCCAGTGGGTTTTTTCTGACTCATCTCATAACTTCGTCTGTCTGAGCATCTTGGCAAGAAAACCACAGCAAATGTTTTTATCTATGAAGCCATGCCGATCCCTTCCTGGGAGGAACTGAATTAAGCTTATTTGTTCAACTTAAAAAAAAAAAAAAGAGCACGCCGGAGTACCATCTGCAGTATTTACCAGCTTTTAGTTACTACAGGTAATCCTCAACTTACAACCTCCAGTGAGCCTAAAATTTCCATTGCTAAGCGAGACAGTTAAATGGGTTCCTTCCCATTTTACAGCCTTTCTTAACATTAGCAATAAGACTTATATACCGCTTCACAGTGCTTCATAGCCCCCTCTAAGCGGGTTACAGAGTCAGCCTATTTGCCCCCAACAATCTGGGTCCTCATTTTACCGACCTCGGAAGGATGGAAGGCTGAGTCAGCCTTGAGCCCATCAGCATCGAACTCCTGGCAGTTGACAGAGTTAGCCTGCAATACTGCATTCTAACCCCTGCGCCACCAACAGCTCCTGTCACAGTTGTTAAATGAATCACTGCAGTGAAGTTAGGAACACGGTTGTTAAGTGAATTTGGCTTCCCCCTTGACTTTGCTTGCCAGAAGTTCGCAAAAGGGGATCACATGATGCAGGGACCCTGCAACCGTCATAAATACGAGTCAGTTGCCAAGCATCTGAATTTTGATCACGTGACCCGGGGGATGCTGCAATGGTCGTAAGTGTGAAAAATGATCATAAATCCCCTTTTTAGTGCTGTTGTAACTTTAAACAGAACTCTGTACCTCAGAGAGGCCTGGTAACCTAAGCATTTTGGGGGAGGGAGGGGAAAAATCTGAAATGAACAAAACTGTTCTTGTATTTGCAAAAGCTGAACTTGCAAAAGTGTGATCAACCCCAGAGTTCTCAGAATTCTCAACTATAGCCACCATTGCAGTGGGGAAAAAAAATGGGAATGGTTTAAATCAGTGTTTCTCAAGTTGATGATTTTAAGAGAGCTGAACTTCCAGAATCCCAGCATTCCCAAGGCAGTTGAAGTCCATCCAATTTAAAGTTGTCACGGGTTGAAAAACACGGGTTAAAGAATTTAACTTTATTGGTAATAGCACTCTAGTTTTTCTGCTCATTTTTCCCCTGCTGATTAGCTTGGGTAGAGAAGCTTTATCTTGGAGAATTGCACGGTGCAATTCTCTGAAAGAAAGTGTTTATTGGGGGGGGGAGTGAAAAAAATTAAGGGCTGTGTACCTAAGTCCAGTGAGTCCTTCCTTCTCATTAGGTGGCCAAAGTATTTGAGTTTCAACTTCAGGATCTGGCCTTCTAAAGAGTAGACGTGAGCTTAAATAAACTCCAGAAGATGGTAGAGGACAGGAAGGCCTGGAGGAATGTTGTCCATGGGGTCGCGATGGGTCGGACACGACTTCGCAACTAACAACAGCAACAACAACAAGCCTAAGTCCAGAGTTGCTATGATATTCTTAGAAGACTGTCAATGACCAGAACAAAGTATGACTCTAGAGCAGATAATTTTACATGACTGCAATTACATAGCATGGTGGCATTGCAGATAACGTGGGATAGATCTTTTAATTGTCACCCTCCACTTCTTGAAAAAGTGTAAACAATGAATACAGCAGGTCAAACTCCAGGGAGTGTAGACTTTCCATTGTATTTTTGCTGACGAGGAAGCATCACTACATCCATGTAACTGCCAAGAAAACAGTTGTGTTTTCAGGAACAGTTGAGCTTGATTTGAAAGAAAACTTTACCTTTCACGTCCAAATAAGCAAAGGGAGAACTCCACCCGTATGATGGACTGTTGCTTAATTGGCTTTTATTTCAGAATCTGGCTGTGGGCTCAAAAGCAGTAGGATCTCTACAACTGACCTACATCTCTAAGGTAAGGCTAAAACAGAGCTTTGTGCTCCTCCTCCCCCCGGCACCTATTGTTAGTCCTGATGATTTCTCTGAGTTTCTGGTCCTCATCATTCTTATTCTTGTGTTTTTAAGGGCTCCACCTCTTCGCCTCATAATCAAACAAACATATAACTTAATATGTAGAAAGCTTGGCCAGGATTGATAGGAGACATGTCTCATGAGCAGAGGTCCTTGGTCATTTCTGACATGGAGCTGAGTAAGCATTAAGCGGCAATAGGAAAAGTGCACATGTTTCTTAATAAAATAAATATTTGTCAGAAAAGGTGGTTATTGGTTACCATAAACTAATCTTTATCCATCCAGCTGATGAGCAAACTCAGGTTGACTACCTCAAGTTGAGGTTCCTCATCAGCTGGATGGCTAAGGATTAGCCTATGGTAGTGAACTAAAAAATAAATAGCCAACATGCATTAATTTATTGAAATTGATTTTGGGGATTTATTTCCTACCATGAACTCTGTGGAGGGGATAAAAAGAATGAGCAAATAAGTTAAGGATAAGAAGAACTGGAGGAGAAGGAAGTGCTAGGTCATTAGGCCTGTTCTTTGGACTGAGTTAATTACCTCACCAGCTCTCTCTCACCTCATTGCCCTGTAACCGGCTTTAATTATAGTCTGAACTCTTTCTTAAATTAGTGGCAGTAAGTTTGGCTGCCCTCTCTAGGTGCAACAGGACTGGGACATTCATGTTGGCTGGAGAGAGAATGTTGTGTTCTCAGATTCATAAAGAGTCTGTCTCTGTCATGGCAGGACCACTTGTTAAATTCCAGTTAAGCTGATTTATTGTAGTTAACTAATAGTCAGCACTAAATTGGTGCTAGATAAGAGTTAACTGAATTCTAGAAGGATTGGACTGTGGGAACCTAATGACTCCAGGCTAATTCCTCTCTTGACTACACCCCCAGGCTTTGCCTATCCTTCTCCTACAGCAGGGGTGTCAAACTCGCCGCATCACGTGACGTGTCGTGACGTCTCGTGACTTTTTTCCCCTTGCCAGAGCTGGGGTGGGCGCGGCTTCCTCATGATGCATCCGGCAGTTTAACACCCTTGTTGATGGGCCGGCCGTTTGACACCCCTGTCCTACAGTCTCTTTTCTAAAACCAACAATAAAACAACTCTGGCAACCACATCAGCAGCCCATTTCCATTTGCTTTCTTTGCAGGTCAGCGTGGCTACCCCCAAACAAAAACCGAAAACACCATTCTGTTTTGGTAAGCCTTAATTGGGAGGGAGCACTCTCTTTCATCGGAGGGGGGGGCACATTTACCTTTTGGTCCCCCTATCAAAGAATTGATTTGGGGGAAGATTTTCCAAGGGTGAAAGGGATGATTAGAGCTAAAGGGTTGCTTTTTGTCCCATAGACCCCTCCCAAGAGGCAAATGTGGCTGAGTTTGGGGTGGCTAGCTTTAAGGGCAGATAATCTGTATGAGTGCCTCTAGCCTACAGCATGTCTTTTCTCCTGAAGCCCCCCTCCCTCTCCCCCCCAATAAAACGATCAGATCTGAAATGTTCAGCCCTGCTCACTCTGCTCTTGGAGAGCTGCAGATGAGATGCTTTGAGGCTTTGTGTAGGGCATGGACCTTGAGTCCTCCATTCTTAATGTAAGTCATTATAGGGAGGATGAAGATTGGAGAACATCTTTGTGGCATCCTTGGGAGCAGAGCTTTGGCTTCCACAGGCAAAGATGCGATCAAAAGCACATAACTGTTTCCTGGCAGGTATTGCGTGCAATTCAAAACACATTTTGCTCTTCAAATCCAGAGCACTGCACAGTCCTAACGTGTAGGTGGAAAGTGGACAAGTGAATTCACTTCTTACTTGGGAAGCAACATTAGGTGATGTTGGGTGACGTTTCAGCTGCACCAGCTTGGGAATCAAATGGAGATTTGAACATTCTTGGAGCAGAGAGTAGTAGTAATAGTAGTAGTAGTAGTAGTAGTAGTAGTAGTAGTAGTAATAATAATAATAATAATAATGATAATAATAATAATAAAGTTGGAAGGGAGAGAAAGGGTAAAAAGGTAGTCTTCAAGTTGAGTTCAATTCTTGGGGGCCTTGTGGAGACACCTTTACAGATTTTTTTATTTTATTTTATTTTTTGGGGAGAGTAATGTGGAAATGGTTCACCATCTCCTTTTAAGACAATTGCACATCCACTCTGCAATCTAGCTTGGTGCGTGGGATTTCCCTGTGGCTTCCTACCCAAGCGTTAAACTGGTGTGACCCTACTTGCATGAGACCAGCCAAGGTCAGTAAGTTGTTGCCACCTAGCTGGGCTCACAAGTGGAGGCTTACAGATATCATTTTGACCTTATGGTAGAACCATGGTCGATCTCTTCCAAACGAGGACCACTGGATCTTGATCCTTGTAGCATAATTTAGAGGTGGATTTCCACTGGCTTAGCCTAGCTTTGCACAGGACAGGAAGAAGAAAGTAAAGCCTAAGAAGCAAGAAGCATTTCATCAGAGCCTCAAGGCCTCCTGTTCTTCTACATTAAGGAGAAGTGGCTGAGATGGATTGGACGGTAGGATTGAAGTAAACATCTTCAGACAGGAAGCCCTGGGGAATTAGGGAGGAAGTGACAGAACCACACGAGATGGAACTGGTTGACTGCCTTTCTCCTTCCCAGGCAATTTATTATTTTATTACTCTGATTTCTTTCTTTTTCTGCCTCTTTAAGCTCTGGACAATTTATTTATTTATAACATGTACAGGCTGCCCATCTTATCTCAAGGCAACTCTGGGTGGCTTACCATCATTAAAAAAAAAAATCAAAATTGTATAAACTAAAAACCTAAATATGTAAATACAAAATCCAAAACACTTTGGCCCAATTAAAAGATGGGGAGGACAGGAGCAGGATGGTGGGGAGGCGGGGTCTGTTATCAATCGATCAAACACCTTCACTCTGACGCTCCCCAAGAAATAACTGGCAAAACCAATTATTATATACCCACGTGGGTGGAAATGTCAGCAACTGAGCTGGGAGGTTAGAGAAGGCTGCCAGGTTTTCAGAAGCATATGCCAGACTATTTTGAAATAGAAAGAGCTGTTCCATCCCCACCTTCCAAACAAAGGCTGAGTAATGTCCACGCTTACTCAGGAGCTGCAGATGAGGACATTGACTTGTAGAAAAGGCAGTGGGAAATCAGATAAGTGGTGGAACAGAATGGTTGAGGAGTAAACCTTGCCGTGTTTTGCTTTTGACAAGGGCAAGGAAAACATGGCTTGTTTTCAGACTCTCTGGGGTAAGCACCCAGTTCTAATAGCAAGAGCCATGTCTAAATGAAATTGCACTTGGACGGAAATAATGCCTTTTGGAACTAAGTTGGCCCACCAATCAAAGGAGTAGAGTAGAGTAGAGTAGAGTAGAGTAGAGTAGAATAGAATAGAATAGAACAGAACAGAACAGAACAGAACAGAACAGAATAGAATAGAATAGAATAGAATAGAATAGACAATATAGAATGGAATGGAACAGAATAGAATAGAATAGAATAGAATAGAATAGAATAGAATAGAATAGAATAGAATAGAATAGAATAGAACTGGAAGGGACCTTGAAGGTCTTCTAATCCAGCCCCCCACTCAAGCAGGAGAACCTATACCATTTCAGACAAGCGACTGTCCAGTCTCTTCTTAAAAACCTCCACTGATGGAGCACCCACGATCTCTGAAGACAAGTTGTTCCGCTGGTTGATTGTCCTCGCTATTAGGAACTTTCTCCTTAATTCCAGATTGCTTCTCTCTTTGATCAGTTTCCAACCATTGTTTCTTCTCCTGCCCTCTGGTGTTTTGGAGGATAGTTTGATCCCCTCTTCTTTGTGGCAGCCTCTCAAGTACTGGAATACTGCTATCATGTCATCCCTATTTCTTCTTTTCTTTAGATTAGCCAAACCCAAAGAAAAGTAGAGCTTGCTACGTAATAATAAAGCAGGGGTATATCAAGGTTACACTTTTCTGCTTAGAGATCACCCCACTTTGGGGTTTTTTGGTTCACCTGGCCCCCTTTCCTTAATTGGGCAGTCACTCTATGGCACATCTCCCTGGTAGAAACTTTTTCTTAGTTGATGTGCTGCCCTCACCTGTTTTAAATTGGAACCATCTTTCCCCCAAATTCCAGGTACAGGAGAAGCATGGAAATCCTCTTCCGTCTTTCCCTGCATGGAAACACATGGTTGTGTGCAAGTAGCTGAGCCATGAGTAGGAATGAAGGAAATAAGGACTGTTCCTAAATGAGAAGGTCAACAAGCGTATAGAATATTAATTTAATTTATACTATGAAATATTAAGAATATCAGTATGCATTAATTGTATTAATGCAAAGGATGGCACACACACACACACCCCGATATTTTTCACAGGCAAAACTTAATGAAAAAGTCAACCTGGTGTGTTCAGTGGAAATACAAATCGAATGCCCCTGATTTATCATTTTTTCCCAAGCATAAAAAAATCACTCTTACAGGCATTTCCTGCAGTTAAAAATCAGAGAAGATCCTTGCACTTAGTTTGAGGCATACAAGTGGAGAAGGCATGTAGTTCTCCAAAGGCTTGGTTGCTGTCTGAAAAAAAAAATGGGATTATTAAAACGTCTTTTTTATATGGCATGAGACAAGTATTAAATGTGTAACTCATTTGTTGCTTTTAGTAGTTGGGCACAATAGTTCTCTCCTCTCCTCTGAAGAACTTTGCTGTTGAATCTCTTTAGTAAAATTTGGGAAAACTCCCGGGGATATAAAAAAAGGGTCTTTGAACTCACCTCTGGACATCCTGGAGTGGTGGACTAGGGAACAGTATCCTCTTGAGGAAATTGAAAGTGGTTCATGGAGCAGGGAATGAGGAGTGGGGAACTCAAAAAGAATAAGACTTCTTCTAGAAGCCGGGAATTTGCTACTGAGGACAACTATATGCCCTCTTTGAAGTGATGCACAGCTCTTGATGATGATCTTTGTATCTGCAGTTATCAACGCCTTGTCTCAGCGCTATGTCTTGCAAGCAAATGACCAAAAAGATCTCCAGGACTGGGTGGAAGCGTTGAATACTGCCAGCAAGATTACGGTAGGTCTTCTCTCTTCACATTAGCTGGAAGTCTTCCACTAAAGGTCCTCAGAGAAGGAAGGCAGCAATTCATTTTATCGGGATGAAGATGGCATCTTACCACTGGTCTCCTTGTGTATTCTTTTCAGCAATTGGATCAGCTTTGCACCATGAATGGGGATGCAGGTGAATTTAGGAGGAACTGGTATAAATTACGAAAGAGGGTAAGGGCTTAGATAATTAGCCCAATCAAGGCACCAAAGCCAACTATAACCCTAATTTAGAGTCCAATCGTGGTTGAAACTTCCATATAACACTGCTTAGAACTGTCCATCTTTGTTTAGTATTTTCCTTGGCACCCTGGTTTTTGGGGCAGAATCCCAACTGCCTTTAGGACTACATCTGCCCCTTGCCTCTGCACAGGTGATTCAACTCCGTTGGAGTTGGTTGCAAGCCAATGGTTTATTGGGGAGAAGTAGGATTTAAAATTCTTCCACTGAAACCTGGAAGGAACTGGCTGAAATAATAGCATTTTCTTCCAGATGAGAACACCCCTGTCAAACAACCACAATCGCCACATCATTCTTTGTTCTTTAGTACGGATACTGCCCACTGGTCCACACTGCTGTATCTGGCGCTTGGCTTTTGCTAACCCCCTGTTACAAACCTGGAAGGATTTGAGGTGTCTATTTTGAGGAGCTCTGAGATTGCTTGGAAGCATTCTGGCGGTTGCCCTGCCTCTTTCCTAAGAGAGAGCTGTTGTGGCTTTTGCTGTTGTGGTTGCGTGACTGATCTTCCCCAATGCTGTATAAGTAAACGGGGAAGAAGAATCGGGAGAGGACCCCTGGGATGCGAGAATTAAAGGACTTCCCAATGAAACTTTAATTGGGCAATCTCCCTGCCTAGTTGGGTGGTGCGGTGGCCCAGTGGCTATGATGCTGAGCTTGTCAGCTGGAAAGCCGGCAGCCCAGGTTTGAGACCCGAGCGCCATGCGGCAGGGTGAGCTCCCGTCCTCGCTCCAGCTCCTGCCAACTTTGCAGTTTGAAAGCATGCAAATGTGAGTAGACAAATAGGTACCACTTATTTGACGTCATGTGATGTCATGCTGGCCACATGGCAGCGCTGGCTCAGTGGCCTTTAAACAGAGAGTAAAAGCTGCAGGGACTCCTTTACCTTTATTTTTTACCTGCCTCCTTAGTTAGATTGCATTAAGGTATGTGCATATCCAGGTGACTCTGTCTTCCATAGGTTATATTCACCTGTTTCTTACCACTTCAGAACAGAAAACTATAAAATGCCTGCAGATCAGTCACACTATCTAATTTTATTCTTTTTTAAATTGAAATATAAATCAATGGGGGGACTACACCCCCTCCCTAGCATTCCACGTAAGGACTAAGAGTGGTCTGACCTAAAAAGGATTATGTATATAGTACATTTCTCGCTTTGGGGTAGCCTTTGCTGGTTCTCTCCTGTCCCATGTTTGTGTTGCGTTTAAAATCTGTGTCACAGAATGGTGGCAAAGCCCAAACACAGACAAGTCAGGCCAGAAGATTGGAAGAGCCCCCCCCCCCAAAAAAGTCTCTGCTTATCTGGACTAGCTTCTTCACCACTTGGTAGATGATACAATTTTATCCTGCACTTCCAATGAACCTGGGAAGGAACATCTTTCAAATACAGAAAAGTGTTTGCAACCTCAGTATACGTCCGTCTGATTGTATCCCTCCTGCTTCATTTTGTAACACATCTCAGCCACTTGTGAAACAAGAAGTTAGGCTGTCACAGGTTTACTTCCCGTTTCTGCAGGTGAGACTTCCCTTTGAATTAGCCAAGCTTGACTTTTCACAATTGAAACCCGGAAGGGCAGGGAGATGAATCGGAGAGATGTTTGGCTAGTCAAGCCAAAACAGAACTGATCCATACATTGGCTGGGCTTGTACAGCACAGGAAGTCATCATGCTCACCCATACATTTTATGTGATGCTCCACTAACCATTTATGGAGGGCACAGATGTGTGATGTTGTCCTTAGCTTGCCGTTGGCCAGCCACAAGGACAGCTGCTGCCCACCTTTTTGTTGTGTTCTCCAACTTCTGCAAGGCTTTATTTTGTTGAATGTAGGGTCTCCACCCAATTGACTGGTGGATGCTGTTGCAGTTCTTCCCCCCCCCATTTCTGGTTAGCGATAGATGCTCTTGATGACCATTTCATACAAGGTTTTGGGGTTGCTTGTCCCCCTTCAGAAAGGACTTTGCCAAATAAAGTCTGATTATGTTTTGTTTTGCGAGGAATGTCTCCAGTCTCCTCACTTGCAATTCTGCACACTTTGTGGGATATTTGGGGGCAGCCAGTTAGTGCTGGTGAACCAGTTTGAGGTATTGGGGAGCTGGGACCGGAGTCCTATCCGTTTCAGTTACTAGCCCAAGTGACAGGAAGAATAGCAAAACTTGTCTATCAGTCTTCTGTAAGACTGGAAAATTTCTGTCCAAAAAATTAGTCCAGCTGATAGGTTGGTGGCCTGGAGGACAGCCAAGAGCTTTACCCGACACCCCTCTTCTGTCTCACCAGCCTGTCAGCTTGGTATTTGGTAGAAGAAATTTATAGTCTTATAGGAAGCTGGTAGACAGCATTCTTCTTGTCCTCTAGCCTAGACTATAAGACGATTAGTAGATCTGCTTTCAGAAGTAGTTCAAGAAGTAGCTCAAGTGAAGGAGCACCTCCACACCAGGGACTGATCACTTGAGCAACTTCAAACTATTTAATGTCCCTATCCCAGCATCCACGCACCGTTATCCAGACATACCCATCTACACTTGCCCAAGTCCATCCCAACAAGCAGGTCGCCTGCTGCTAATCAGCCCTGAAGAAGGTGTTCTGTACTTCACCTCTCTTTCCTCACACATTTTCTAGGGACAAAAGCTCCATTGTGCTTCATTGTCAAGGTAGAACAGAAGAGTATAATAAACTTTTAGATTATTTTGCACGGCGAAGGGAAAGAAGCAGTTGGAAGTGTCTCCATTCCATGTAATAAACTTAGACCGGGCACACTGCACCTGTTGGACTTGATTGCTAGGACAATGAAAATATTTTATCTTTTTCCATAAAACATTGCTAGTTTGCAACAATCATTGTCCTAAAATACAGTGACGATCACTAATGCGCAAGCAACTTCACCCATTGCTCTAAGTCATGTCTTATTTAAACATATTTTATTATATTTAGTTTATTATATTTATTTTTTTATTATTCACAATGGCTGGCTTCGTGTACCACACCGAGCTACAATTACACAAGTCAGCTAGCATGTGCTAAGCTCTAAGGCCAGACGGTAGTAGTAACCAGTCTGGCTTTGCCTAGAGAAGGCAATGGGACCAGGGATTCCAGTTGCTGAAGGTCACAGCACCAAACATTCCTTAACGCTTAGCTTGTGGCCTTCACCGATGCACTGGTTTGGCCACTGGGAGAAAAAAAAAGGAGATTGAAGAATGAGATAGAATTGTAGGTTGAACTTTTTGTTTTTGCTCTGAATCACTTCCCGTCACTGCTTTTGTACCAGATTTTCAGCTGGCTTTGAACTTAACTGGCGCATGGATGCTTCAGTGGTTTGAGAATGCTACATGCTGGATCAGATGCAGAAGAAAGGATCCAGGCCTTTTGGGTGTTAGCCTGTTCAAAAAAACCAGTTTTACCAGCCCAGCCTTTTGCCTTTCCAAGAGGAAGAATCCACCTAGCATCAGACACCCAACTTAGCCATGAGTTGCTGCTATCAGATGGGGGAAAAACGCAAGCAAGAGTTGTGCTCAAAGAAAGGCCAACTGCTATTGGATGTAGCTGTGAAATTGACATCTAGAAAGCCGTGGCGCTTCGGTCTCTGTAGCTCCTGGGGAGTTTCTGTCTTTCCACCCTACTGCCAGGACAGGAAACTGCAAGGGAAAAAGGGAAGCATCCAGGATAACAACTCAATCATTTAGGAAGGTTGGCAATCGTTGCCAAGCATAAATATATGAGGTTGACTGCAGAATATCCTCCAAAAAAGTTCGGACATTTGTTTTAATAAACTAAAGTTTTTAGTCCCCAAGGGGAAAAAAATAATATAATAATAACAGGAAGCTTAGTTTCAAGTTACTGAAGATGGAACAAGATGCTCACTTTGGAAGATTGGGCAATTTATGAATCTTGGCTCTGATGTCTGCCTTAACACAGGACTGGTTTATGATCTAGCACTGAATTAGGCAGTATTAAATCATGGCATAAAAGGCTTTGGAACACGCTAGCACCACTGGCAAGTTAAAATATATTTTAAAAAGAAAACTCAGATATACATGCCTCATAGCAGAGTTGGGCTCCCATTTCCATCATCCCCAGTTTGGCACTGGTCAACTTATTGCAGCTCCATCATTGGGTGTATTGGCAGGGACAGATGGGAGCTGTAGTCCAATAACTCGAACAGATTGGAAGTAGCTGCAGTATTTCTGCGGTATCTCTTTTTTGTTTTTTGTTTTTTTTCTGAAGCGGAAGCCATATTAATTGCATCAGAACCCAAAACAGCCTGATGGAACTTTAGAGACATTTATTTATTTATTATGGCGCAAGCTGTTTGGGATTACACTGCTGTTATTTCCTTCTTCAGCTGAGGACATTGACTGAGGCTTTTTACATTCTGTTTATTGGTAACGGGGCTGCTAAATTGGACAAGGCAAATTTATGCCAGCATGGTGATTTTTGCAGTTATAAAACAGCTTACTTTGAGGGATAGAAAAAAAAACAGATTCTTAAAGGAAGAAGAAAAGTGCTGAGAGATAATATTGACCTTAATATGAAGATGAGCCATCAGATTAGCCCTCTGGGGCTGGATTTGTCTTGAGTAACTCCAGTACTCTTTTATAAATCTTTCTGAAGTTTGTTCCTATGTCAGTCTGATGACCAGAGACATTTTTCTCCCTCCATCTGTCAGCAAGGCAGAAGAGCTTCATAGCCTATATGATGCATGCAGAAGGTTTCTTCATATCTTAAGAACTATAAATGGCGTGCAAGCAAGTGAAGTATCACTTTATAAAGCCTTAGTACGGCCATACATGGAATAGTGGATCCAGTTCTGATCACCCACAATATAAAAAAGATGTTGAGATTCTGGAAAGAGTGCAGAGAAGAGCAACAAAGATGATTAAGGGGTGGAGGCTAAAACATGAAGAACGGATGCAGGCATTGGGTTTGTCTAGTTAATGAAAAGAAGGACTAGAGAAGACATGATAGCAGTGTTTCAATATTTGAGGGGCTCCTACAAAAAGGAGGGGGTCAAAATTTCCAGTGTTGGAGCATTCACAGCTTCTGGAGGCAAGTCGTTCCACTGATTAATTGTTCTCACTATCAGGAAATTTCTCCTTAATCCTAGGTTGTTTCTCTCCTTGATTAGTTTCCATCCATTGCTGCTTGTCCTGCCTTCAGGTGCCTTGGAAAATAGCTTGACTCCCTCTTCTTTGTGGCAACCCCTGAGGTATTGGAACACTGCTATCATGTCCCCCCTCGTCCTTTTCTTCGTTAAACTGGACATCCCCAATTCCAGCAGCCCTTCTTTATATGTTTTAGCCTCCAGTCCCCTGATCACCTTCGTTGCTCTTCTCTGCACTCTAGTTTCCAGAGTCTCAACATCTTTTTTCAAAGTAGTATTTTTTTTTTAGTACTGTGAGTTTATTTCATACTCCTATACACAAGAATCTGATCTGCTAACGATCAAGGCAAATTGGCGGTAAATAAGAATCATTGGGATTCACAGAGGCCTGGACTTAGGTCTCTTGTGGATGTATAGTGACTCCAGACTGATGACCTGTTGGCCCCACCCTTGAGCTCAGCCTGGTCATCTACAGTAATTTATCTTATTTACTCCATTAGGTGCCGAAGCATGGAAGTTTGTCGCTAGCCACAGAAGCAGGAAGGCACCCATATAAGACTGAGATCATTGGAGGAGTCGTCGTGCAGACACCCATCTCGGTCAACCAGGTGAGACAGAATTGGACAGACTTTGGAGGAACAAGGCAGAGGAAGGTCTGCAGCTTCCGACAGAGACATGCAGTAGAGTCTTAGGGGGCTCTCCTCTGCATCTTTCGTTGAACAGGGCTGGCTGGGAAAAGACCTTTTCTCCAGCCTGTAAGAGGCCTTTTCATGGTTGCATTATTGGGTATGTAGAAATGACCTTGGGAGACCAAGGAAAGAGATGCTGCCTCAGGAATGATCAGATAAAAGGGGAGTTAGCCCACAGCTGAATAATGAGCAGTGAAAGAAACTTAGCAAGGATCTGCACTAACTTAACCAGGTGGTAAAAAGCGAAGCTGGGAGATTTGTACTTTCAGGCTTGTGAGATGCTGTCAGCCTCCCAAGAAGGCCAGACAGGAAAAATGACAAAATAATTCTATTTTATTGTAAGGCTACGTTAACAGAATCTCACAACCTTCTTCTCATTTTTGTCTTCCCGCCCATCTGATTCTGGCCTGCTCTTTCTTTCTTTCTTTCTTTCTTTCTTTCTTTCTTTCTTTCTTTCTTTCTTTCTTTCTTTCTTTCTTTCTTCTTTCTTTCTTTTCTTTCTTTTCTTTCTTTCTGTTTTCTTTCTTTCTGTTTTCTTTCTTTCCTTTCTTCTCTTTCTTTCTTTCTTTTCTTTTCCCCTCCCTCCCTCCCTCTGTCCTGTTCTTCCTTCCCTCCCTCCCTCCTTCTTCCTACTTTCCATCCTCTTTCTCCTCCCTCCCTCCATCTTTCTATCCCTTCTTTCCTTCCGCCCATCGAAAGTTGAAGACACCATCCTATGCCTGGGTTACTTTGCGTCATGAATCCTCTAAGGAAGTTTCCCAAGCAAATCGTCTTCATGGCAGCTTCCCAAAAGGCTGTCTCCAGAGAGTCCATGGGGCATGCGTGAAAAAAAAAATCAAGATGGTTGATTGCTTTGTGCAATGGAATTCCCCTCCTCTTTTTAAAATATCTACTTTTTTTTCCCTCCCTACTTGCCAGCTTAATTTTCTCCTACCAGTCCTTCCTTTTCGTCTCTGTTTTAGAAAATTCAGTTCCTGCCGTGCTGTCTGTGAGCATCTGGATTTGATGCTACATTTGCCTTGTCCTTTTACAAAGGACAAGTGTCATCATCTTGGGCTGCTGGATGGTGGCTAAGTGTGTGTGTGCATGTGTTTGGCTCTTTCCACTGTCTGGAGCGTAGGCCTAAGTTGGCTAAGACAGAAGAGTTTTTGTTATGGATCCTCCAAGGCCAGGGAGCCTGACGTCTTGACCAAGGGAGCCAGCTACACCATGTGGTTCACACAGGGGTGCATTGTGTCTGTCTCTTGGGAATCTGTAGAGCTGAAATTATTAAAAAGCATGAAGCAGGCACTTTCGTAATTTATGTAAGGAAGAACATCCCACTTGCTCCTAGACCAAAGCTGTACCCTGAAGTGTCTCTCTTTATTCAGCACCCCCCCCCCCGTTTAAGCAAAACTAGAGTGCAAAGGATTTGTTTCTATTAATCCCCACCCCCCCCACCCCCAGTTTTTGGAACCCAATCCATGAGTTTTCTTTGCCTTCTCCATTCCTCTTGTATTTTTATTTTGCCTCTTCCTCGTGCTCTTTCTTTTCTGTAATTGCTGATCATTATTCTCTGGAGGGGGGGGGGAATATTCTGCCCCAACTTCAAAACAAGGGGAAAAAAAAACTCCACAAGAATGAGGTCTCTGTTCTCTTGGGCTTTTGTTTTTTTATAAAAAAAAAAATGGGATGGAGCCAATAATGTTAGTCTCTCTTTTCCAAGGGATACATGATTCTGCAAACTTGGAAATTTATCCTTAGCATGATTAATTCTTGAAGGTGTGGAGCGAGAGGTATGCAGAAGTTGCTTCCGCTCTGATTTAACCCCATTCTGGCTACAGATTTCAGCAGATTTTGCAACTCTGAAGGAACAAATAGATTCTTTGCTTCCTAGAAAAAAAAAATAATGAGGTTTTCAGGAAGGTAATTCTGCACCCAGAAATCACAACTGCTTTCTTTCCACTGAACAGCAGAATACATTCAACCATATCTATTCTGCTGAAAAATGTCAATTTATACAAGCCATAAGGCTCGGTATGCTGTTTTGTACACTGCCTTGGAAAGCAATTCAATTTTAATTTTATATAATATAGGACAAAGTGCTGATACAATTAATTGCTCTTGTGGTTGTGGCCACCATCTTCACTCTCCTGACATTCCCCATGATTCCTCCTAATGGAAAAGTGGTTTTAGATAGGAAGCAATAAAAGAAATAAAAGTTGCCCTTCCCATTGTGTGGCTCTCTTCACTTGGCACTTCAAAAAAGTTTGGAAAGGAGATCATGAAGAGGGTAGGGCCGGGAAAAAAGCTACATGAAATAAAGTTTAATTAAAATATATCAAGTAATTAAATAGATTAAACGGAGCAACTGTGATTATTCCTCATGTATTTCAGCGTTTCCTCTTGTACGGTATTAAAAAGGAGCATTGGGTGGCTACCTTTGTAAAGACCGTAGGAGCCTCACCCAACTTTTTCAGGAATGACAGCAACTTGGGATTGGCAGTTACACGTCTTTGCACTGAAGAAGTGTGTTTTCTTGGAATAATTCAGTGAGCTTGGATTAGTTTAATGAGCATGATGATGTTTATTCATGGAGCTGTGGTTGAAAGGAGAACTGCAGGGGGCTCCTTGAAAACCTGGCAACTTTAAAGTAGAAAAGATGTAGATTAAATTAATTGGCAGTCTTAGGGCAACCAGGTCTGTGTGGGACTAAATATAAGAGCAGGTTCTGCATGGGAACCTTGGCTGAATATATGTCAGGGGTGTCAAACTGCCGGCTCCGGTTTCATCATACCGGAGCCGCGCCCACCCCATTGCCGGCAATGGCAAAAAAGCTCCGATACGTTGTGCGATGTCACGTGAAGTCGCGAGTTTGACATGTCTGATATATGTGAATCGGGCAGAAAGCTCCTGAATCTCCTCTAGCTCCCGAATGCCCATATCATGCCCTCTTGTCAGGTGCAAAGGATCAGGACTATTTGTTAAGTTGCAGTACAGAAGATTTATTCAAGACTATAAACAAGAATCTAGTCAATTAAAGTTCAGTACTAAATTGGTATTGGATAATGCTGGCTGGGAAATTCTGGGAATTGACGTCCACAAGTCTTAAAGTGGCCAAGTTTGAGGACCCCTTGTCTTCCCTTTTCTTTTTTTCCCCTTGCAGAATGGAGGAGATGGCTCTGAAGGCCACGAGCTTTCATCTCACCCTTTGTTGAAGCGGTCTCAGAGTTACAACCCCAGTATCAAAACACCAGTGGGACCTCTAGTCCTCAAGAGCGGTTACTGTGTCAAGCAGGGGAACGTAGTAAGTGTCTTTTTGACTATCGTGGCCGTTATCTCGCTGGATAATTTTTGGACAAGGAGATAATTTCAAGGGATGTTGTTAGGAAAAGATTCTGAAAGGAAAGAAAAAATGAAAATACAAGTAGCTCTTGACTTACAACCACCATCGATTGAACCCAAATTTTCATTGCTAAGCGAGACATTTGTTAAGCACCTTTGGGAAAACCTTGATCTGGATGACTGAGAATCTCCATAGGCAATTAAGATGGCAGCCATCACACTGCAGCTGAAGCTGGACCTTCAGTCAGGCCACACAAATATAAAAAAACCAATGCAGGTTCTTAACAGCCATTAATCTGCTCAGAATGTCCTCTATGTTACATGAAGCATTTGGAAGAACAATTTAAAGGCTTTTAAAAGGGATTCTTTTTGCCTTTCAGAGAAAGAGCTGGAAACGCCGTTACTTCATGCTGGATGAAACTTCTGTCAATTATTTCAAATGCGAGCAGGTAAACAATCCAGACCTTTCAAGGCTGTGATCTGTCTCATTTTCTCTCTTCCCTGATGGCTGCAGATTCTCTTCCTTAGAACCAAGTACGCTCTTCTAAGTACATTTCATTTTGATATCAAAAAAGGATATTTGTTCTACGTCTGCAGTGGTGAAATCAAATTAAGACTGATAGGGGTTGAAAGTGTTGCTGATGCCTCCGAAGTTTTTAAGTTTCTTCAAGATCTTGTGATCAGGTCTTGTGTTGTTTTAGAGCAGGGGTTCTCAACCTGTGGTCCGCGGACCCCTGAGGGGGCCGTGATGTCATCAGAGGGGGTCCACGAAGGCTTGAAGAAATGTTATGATTTAAATCTTGAGTTCAATCTTGGTGGTCCATGGCCATGGTCTGTGGCCACACAAGGTATTTAAAGGGGGTCCGTGTGAAGAAAACATTTAGAGAAAAAAGTAATATAATACTTGGAAGAGATTATTCTAAAGCCTTTCTCTAGCAGTGATTAGGTTCATAAAGGATGCAAAGACACGGCTGCTTAATTGTGGTTTGGTGATTCAGCAATAACTGGCTGGATTCCCATAACTTGCTACGCCATAAACCATTGTTAGTAACCCCTGCAGGTGGATTTGTGCAACAGACTGAATCAAAACCAAGAAAGTCACCCACTTAGCATAATGTAAGAACTAGGTCTGCAAGAGAATACTAAACTAGTCTTAAATTAATCCATCGCACTAACCCAAGAAACACTTTAAAACAACAGATATCAAAACTGAAAACATAAGTTCATTGCGAGAAGAAAAAATGAGCAAACACTATTGTTTAAAAAAATTGCAAATGTTATGTTTGAAAGTTGTAATTGAAGACAGTTGACAAAAAGCCGTGCTTCTCTGTTGCAGAAAACTAGCAAAGATTCATTTTCTGGGCTGATAGGGTTTTTTTTTTTCCTTCCCACATTTTGGGGACCAGAATGTAGTTCATCTGTTATTTGTGATGAAATTATGTTTAATCCCCCCAAATTAATGCATTTCCACAGATGTATCATTCCACAGTTGTATCTTTGCTAAAAACAATATTGAATATTGTGTCATTTATAAATTTTATTCCTGGCTTTTCATCTACCTTCCAACCCACACAGTATCTGCTCTCATCTGTTGGCTAATTTTGTGCTGCCCTGTTGGATTTGCTTCTCTTGTCAGGATAAAGAGCCCTTGCGGTCAATCCTCCTGAAGGATGTGCTGAAGACTCACGAATGTCTCGTCAAATCTGGGTAGGAATGTTCTTGATATTTGGGCATTTTATCTTTAGTGTTGGCATTTGTTGCAGAATGGGTCGGTATTTAGAGACAGGGGATGTTCTGCTGTGGTTTGTGTGCATTCCACCATCTCAGAACAACCATGACACCAACTCATTTTACCGGGGCAAAAATGGTACTCAAGTTATGTTGCTATTGGTGGACGGATGAAACCCGAGGATGCTACTCTGCAAAATAGTTTTGGGGAAAGGTGGGAGATATTTTCAAGATAATTCTGTGGAGTGCTTTTTTTTTTTTTAGTATAGTGCAGGGGTAGGCAACCTTGGCTCTTTTATGACTCGTGGACTTCAACTCCCAGAATTCCTGAGCCAGCGTGGCTCAGCTTGGAAACCTCTCCCTTTCCCCTCAGCGTGGCTGGCTTAGGAATTCTGGGAGTTGAAGTCCACAAGTCTTAAAAGAGCCAAGGTTGCCTACCCCTCGTATAATGGTACTTTGGTACTCATTGTTAATTTGTTCCGGGAGGCGTAATGAGTACCAAAAATGATGAATACCAAACAAATTTTTTCCCATAAGGAATAATATACAGGTCACCTTTGATTTATGACCACAATTGAGCCCATTATTTCTATTGCTAAGTGAAACATTGATTGAGTTTTGCCCCATTTTACGACCTTTCTTGCCACGGTTGTTAAGTGAATCACTGCAGTTGTTAAGTTAGTAACATGGTTATTAAGTGAACCTAGCATCCCCCATTGACTTTGCTTGTCAGAAGTTTGCAAAAGGGGATTCATGACTCCGGGACGCCACAACCGTCATAAATATGAACTAGTTGCTGAACCTCTAAATTCTGATCACGTGACCAATGGCCGTAAGTGTGAAAAATGGCATAAGTCACTTTTTTCAGTGCCGTTGTAACTTTGAACAGTCACTAAATGAACTATAAGCTCAGGACTACCTGTAGTGAGTCACAAGGCAACCAACACCGATAAGTTCTAGCTTGTGCATTGAACACCAAACAAACAACGAGTACCAGGACAAAATATTCACGTCAAAATGAGTTGAGTACCAAATTCAATGAGTCTCAAAGCAGTTGAGTACCGAGGTATTCCTGTAGCTCAGTGGTTCTCAATCTTTTTAATGCCGCGACCCCCAACTGGTCATAAGTTGAGGACTACTCAGTCGGTTGTAAGTCAAGGACTACTCAACTGGTGCAGCACCGTTTGCAGAATGGGACTTTTGGCGGGCTCAGCAGGGCAGAGACAGCCTGGACAATTCCTATTGGCTTTTGAAAGCCAATAGAATTAGACTCTATTCAAGAGAGTCTATTCTATTGACTTTCAAAAGCCAATAGAATAAAAGGGAGTAGCACAGCTAAGGAAAAGGGGAAAAATGGCGGAATGCGTTGTTTGGCGACCCCTGTGAAATGGTCGTTTGATCCCAAATGGGGTCCCGACCCACAGGTTGAGAACCACTGCTGTAGCTTAAGGAAGGGCACAGAAAAAGGAAGCTTCCATCTTGTGGCCAAAAAGGTGTCATGAAGGTGATGTCACTAGAAGTCAGGCTTGTCTTGAAGGAGACTTTACTTTTGGGGCTTTGTGAGGTACCTGAACTTTTTCCCCAAGAGATGCTTTCTGATACAGGGGTGATCCAATCCAATGTGCCTCATTAAGGCATTCCATGTTGCTTCTGAGACCTATTCAGCTGAAGGACCATCCCAGCGAGAGCCTCAGAAACAACACCAATCAAAGCCACCGATTCCAATTTCAGTTAACATTAACACTGAATTACCTCTTTAGAGAAATTGGCATTCAGAAAAACGTTCCTGGTACATGCAGTTAATGTTAAGGTTAATACTTCTTTTTGTTGTTGTTTTTCAAGTGACCTTCTAATGAGGGACAATCTCTTTGAAATTATAACAAGCTACCGGACCTTCTATATCCAGGTAAAGTACATGTATTACGATATAGGAAACGCAGTCTTGCAAATTTCCATTGTTTGGAAGTTGTTTAAGCCTTCTTCCAAAGAATTTTATAGATTGTGAAACTTCCAGATGTTGCTGAGTTGTAACTTTCAGCATGGCCAGTGATGATGGCTGCTGGAATTTGTACCTCAACAATTAGAGAAGGGCTACCTGTTTCCTCGTTTTGAACTGAAGCTTGTGATCACTCGAATATATTTGACCATACATGAAAAGTATCTGAATGGAAACCTGAAGTCACGTTCAATTCAAGAAATTGAGATTAGAAGAATTATAAGGCCCTCTCAACTCTTCTTTCTGATTTTTCTTTCTCTCTGCTTGGATTAGCTAATCCTTATGTTTCTTCTAACATCATAGTTCTATGAGATTTATGACTATTTTCTTCTTGATTTTCCATGAGAGCTGAAGTAATTGTCAATAACTGCAGGGCAGTTTTGCAGGACAGTTTCTGCAATGACTCCTGATACTGGGGATCCCATTGTCCCTTTTATTTGCTCATACTTTTCCCTTTTGAAGGTGAAGAAGGTATGTTAGCACTACTGGAGTAGCTTCATAGTTTGTGTCCTGGTTAGGGTGTTCTCAGCTGTGTTGTACTCTTCTTCCAGTTTTTTAAAATCTTTTTTTACTTATTTCTTCATAATTGCATGTTATGCCTACAACATTTTCCATACTCTCATTTGATTGGCATGTTCAGGTACATAAAGGAGAGCTACAGGGAACATGGTCTGAACGACTTGCCATGGCCCTAGTTTGTAGGACCAAAAATAATGGTTACAACTTACACTATTTAATTAAAAGAAAAAGAAAAACCTCTTGGCAATAATATTTGTACAACAGATGTATCTATGGACACAAGTTTTCCATCTCTGAGGCTCGCAAGAAGAAGCTGGACAGTCATCACTCATAAATTATTTCAGTGGTTCCCTGCCCATTGCAGAGGATTGAACTTAAAGATCCTTGTGGTTCTTTCAGCTCTATAATTCTCCTTCAGGAAGGTAGAAAATCAAACAAAAAATCCCAGATATTCACAAATAGTGTACGCAAATACACTAGCCAGCTAATTACAAGGTTGTCCTCTCGCCATTTAAAGTTCAAAGGCCCTGCAGAATAGCCAGCCTTCCTGGTTTCTGTATGTCTTCTGTGCACTGAAGCCAGGATGCTGTGCATTTTAGAAGACCATCAACGGAACTTCCTAGCAGGTTTTCCTTGTTGAATGTTTCAGAACATCTCACAAAGCTGGTAAATCTTCGGGTGTTTAAAAAATGGATTCCTCGTGGAGAAGGCCGTGTTTCTTTTTTCATTTAGTTTGCGAGGCCATCAATTTAGCTTTTTTTTTTTTTGTAAAAAATTTTTTATTTTCAATTTTACATTACATTCAAAAAAAATACTTCAGATAAAGAGTAAAATAAATTTATACACACAACTTTCGGTATTGCTCACCCATTTCCCCCCAAACCGCATCCACTCTCTAACCTCATCTCTCACTTCCCTCTTTCCCTCTTCTTCCTCACTCCCCCCCTCTCCTCCTTCTCCTCAACCTTCCTACTTACTTCTCCCCTTCCTCCTATCTTCTCACTCCAAATGCGGTACAGGGGAAATGCCCGAGCAACTCCTCTCTCCAAATTAAAACATCAATATTATATGCAATAAAACTATTTCTACTTATCTGAGCTATTTAACCTTCAACCCATCCTCCCCCCTCCCCCCACCCCCTCCCCCCCACTTCCCAGAGCCAAGTACAGGGTTATACAAACATATTAAACATAATCTATTTAAGTTTACTAATTATACAATAACCAAAATCATACTAACCCTTAATCATGCTAACCCATCAATTTAGCTTTTGACAGTTGAAGGCATTCTCCCCCTGCCAAACTGGTTGCTTTGTTGACAGGCTGTCAAGCAGAAAGGGTAAATGAGGCGAGACTTAACACACAGTCCATTTTAGTCTAGGGAGAGATGAAGTGCGAGAATCCAGAATCCCGCTATTGCCACAGTTTCACTTCTTCATTTCATCATATTCGTCACGAAAGTTATTTGTCCAGGTGTAGAACAGAGCCATAAACACAGGGATTTGTGTAAGATTGCAGTAAGAGAGCTTTCCCCAGATAAGAAATGCTTTTCAGGTGTGTTGGGACAACATTTAGCAAGCATCAGATATTAGGAAACTTAAGAGTTGTGTGCAACTGAGAGAAAGCACTTTACAGACACTAGAAATGAGGGGTCCTTGGTGTTCTCTGAGCTTGGTTGTTTTCTTGCAGGTGTTTCATTACTCAAACTAGATAACCTCTGCAGGAAAACTGACCAAGCTCAGAGAGCACCAAGCACCAATATTCTCCTTTTTTTTTTTAATTAAAATTTATAGACTGCCCCACTCCCGCAGGACTCCTGGCGGTTTACAATAAAAACACAACATAACTTGACAAACAAACAATACAATAACATTCATCCAGGGGTCAGATTTTATAAACCCCAGGCCTATTGAGACTCTAGAAATGTTCTCAAAAAATAATACAAACTTCTTGCTTGTCTAGAAGAATTCTGGAGAGATGCAATATCTTCCTGTCAAGAATATCTTGCATTCTTTTTTTAAGTACCACCGCCTGAAATTCATAGAATCACAGAGGTCCTTCTAGTCTAACCCCCTGCCTTAGGCAGGAGTCCTTATTCCATCCTAGACAAATGGTTGTCCACTTTTTTTCTTGAAAACCATCAGCGACCAAGAAGCTTACTCTCCCAGCTTTTCTCAGATTGAAAAGTCAAAATAATCGTGGCTATCTGAATTGCGGTCAATGGCTGTCCAAGATCTGTGACAGCTGAAGTCCTCTTTTGAAATCTGCAGACTGCAAACAGGTTGGTTTTGAATTAATTTGAGCTAATTCAACGCCTGTCTCCCCAAGACACTTTTGGAATTTGGACAATGTTTTTCAGCCGTACTCAAAATAAAAGCCTTCTGGGGAAGAGGGCTGCATATTTGCAGTGACTGACATGGGAAACATAACTAACTTAAAATGCACCAATTAAGCAGAATGCAACTGCCATCCCTCGGGCCACCACCCCTTCCCCCTTCCTCTCTGTACTTTTGGAGTGATGGGCAAATGCTCAGCCTTCAACCGTTCAGCGTTCTTTTCTAAGATAGCTTTAAGGACTTTTTGCAAGTTGAGTCAATGGCAGTGAATAGAACAGAATAACAGAGCTGGAAGGGGCCTTGTAGGTCAGGGGTCTTCAAACTTGGCCCTTTTATGGTCCGTGCCTGGCTGAGGAATTCTGGGAGTTGAAGTCCACAAGTCATAAAAGGGCCAAGTTTGAAGAGCCCTGGGGTAGGTCATCTAGTCCAACCCTACGCCTAAGCAGGAGACGCTACACCATTTCTGACAGATGGCAGTCCAGTCTCTTCTTGAAAGCTTCCAGTGATGAAGCTCCCACAACTTCTGATATGTTGTGGCTAATAATGTGTTTTTCCAGACATCATTTTCTCTTTCTTTGGATTTGAAGAATGGCTTAGAAACAGAGGAGGTCAAGGTGGGGCAGAGTCAAACACCAAAGGAGTTGTCCAAGTGTACTTTTGGTGCCCATGGATGCTTTGTTGAAGGTCTGAACTTAGGGGTACACTAAGGATTAAGAATGAAAATAATAACAGAATTGGAAAGGACCTTGAAGATCTCCTAGTCCAACCCCCTGGACCTTTTCCACTTCAGATAAATGGCTGTCCAGTCTCTTCTTAAAAACCTTCAATGATGGAGCACCCACAACTTCTGAAGGCATTTCCTTCAGAAATTTCCACTGTCAGGAAATTTTCTCCTTAGTTCTAGGTTATATCTATCTTTGGTAAGCTTCCATCCATTACTTCTTGTCTTGCCCTCAGATGCTTTGGAGAATAGGTTGACCCCCTCCTCTTTGTGGCAGCTCCGTAAATATTGGAAGACTGCTATCATGTCACCCCTCATCATTTTCTTGTGATATGTGGACTTATCATCGTGCAAAGCCTGTAGCTTGAAGAGGCCCCAGAAAGCTTTGCCTATTTTTCTCAAACAGCACAGAAAATGTCCTCACTGGCTATTTTCTTTCATTTGCACTCTCCCGTGGGTGCTTTAAATAGTAGGAAATCCAGATAGAGGTCAAGCTACCTTCTGTCTTTTGCAATGACTCAGCTCAAATTCTGTGGAGGGCAAACTTAGTGTGCAGGACACAGAAAAGTGTGCCTGGGAATTAGTGTAGCTATATGAATGTGAATTTTTATGTGAATGATTTGGAAAGGAAGAGCAGAATCAATGGAGTAGGTGGTAGATGATTTTAAGAATGACCTTTGCAATGCAGATTGCTGGGTTGTTTTGCACCTGCCCAGGAGTTACGCTTGGTTGTGTTTTGTTTACTGGGTAAGCAACTGTGTGGGGAGCAGTTGTGCAAGAGAGCGTGGCTCCCATCTATTTGAGGAAAACGGTTGTTCTGCAAGTGTGCGCATTTTGGCTAGTCTGTAAGCCTGCGGCCTTCAGCTACATGAGCCTTGAGTTCTTTTAGATTAAAGCAGTACTCTCCAAACTTAGCAACCCTAAGACTTGTGGACTTCAAATCCCAGAATTCTTCAGCCAGCCATGGATTGGAAGCCCACAAGTCTTCAACTTGCCAAGTTTGGAGACCCCTGAATTAAAGTATATGGTAGAGTCACCAACTGAAGGAGAGGAAGCCCTGACAGGGGGGGTTAAAAGACATTTCAGCTCTGAGTCTGGGGGAAGAAATGTTTGAGGTCAAATCCTTAGGTTCCATCTGATCTTCCCAAGTCTGGAGAGTCTGTGCAGTCTAAAGAGATTCTTGTAAGCTGGTGATCAACAATAAAAAAAACCTCTGACTCATTCTCAAAGCTATTCTGGTTGCTTGCACCTGAGAAAGCATGAGATAATGGAGACCCCACCTGATTTGCTGTCTGGACATAGGTGAGCACCTTAGCTGAGCACCAAAGGATCCTACTCCAATTTGCCAGACTCACCTGATGGTGCACATCTTTTTAAGGAAGGGATGGACAAGCTTCAGTCTTGCATGTAGCTCTCCATCTCCTTTTCCAGCGTCCCTATAATTAATTAAGCAAGCAACACAGTTTTTCTGACTTAAGATATCAATGGAAATTGATGATGAAGATGGTAGCCTCGCCACTGTCCATGGATGGTCTCTGGAGACAGTTGACTGTAGCCCAACAAATGAGTTGTGGCTTCCAGGGTAGGAAAGATGGGCTGTTCCTAGTCTGGCTTAATCTTGTCTCCTTGTTGCAGCAATTGCTTAAATCTTTAACCTGAGTATAGAATTCTCAGCCAATGGAGTCAAAGACATTTCCTATACATCTGGAGAGCGCTGGGGGGAGGAAGAATCAGAGTAGCAAAAATAGTTCCTTTCCCTGAAAGTTTTAGTTGTGATTTCACTGTCTTTTTCTTTTTTTTTTTTTTTGTCCTTTCCAGTCTAGTGTGTACATATTTATTTATTTATTTTCTGGGTACTAAAGCAATTAATTTAAATGCAAATAGCCAGTTATTAGCCACCCATAGGGTTTTCTGTTGACCTTGCATGGTGCATAGTCCTAGTGCTGTAGTGGTTTTAATTTAATGTGTGCTTACAGGCTAAATGCAGTACTGTAAATCAATACAACATAATACACTTCAGCATTCAATCTTCGCAATATCAGCCACTATCAAAAGAAAACAGTAAAGTAATTAAAGTAATTAGCACAACCATTAATATTAGCATCATGCAATTACAACCAAAGATCTATTAGCTTCATAAAGGACTTGCAGAAGTTGTATTTTAAGGGCTTTTTAAAACTTCAGGATATCGCATTCCAGCTATTAATCCAGGCAAAGTTCATCCAGAGGGCAGAATGAGAGGTTTCATTCATAGTCTGTTAGATCAGGGGTGCCCAGCCTCCGATCTGTGGACCAGTACTGTGCCGTGTCATGCCAACAACCAGTCCTCACAAACAAGCAAAGCCCCATCCGTGAGTTGCAGGCAGCACACAAAATGACGCACTCTTTGGTCCGTAGAAAAAAACCTCTCTCCACGGAACCGGTCCCTGGTGCCCAAAAGGTTGGGCACCTCTGTGTTAGATTAGCCACTTCTACTTTTTTAAAAACGTATTAATCAGAATCTAGCAAGATCTGCATTTTTGCTAAGTGGGATGCATATACATAATAATAATAATAATAATAGTAAAGTTGGAAGGGACCTTGGAGGTCATCTAGTCCAACCCCCTGCTCGGGCAGGAAACCCTACACCATTTCGGACAAATGGCTGTCCAGTCTCTTCTTAAAAACTTCCAGTGTTGGAGCATTTACTGCTTCTGGAGGCAAGCTGTTCCACTGATTAATTGTTCTCACTGTCAGGAAGTTTCTCCTTAGTTCTAGGTTGCTTCTCTCCTTGATTAGTTTCCACCCGTTGCTTCTTGTCCTGCCTTCAGGTGCTTTGGAAAATAGCTTAATTCCCTCTTCTTTATGGCACATTTAGTTCCAGATCTCATATCTGCCCTCTGGTGGATCTTTCCATAGTGGCCAGAACTTAAATAAGAATTGAAAATTTAGGCAAAAAGGTTTAGAAAGGGCCTTTCCTCACCTCTACCCACCTGTTAGGTTCCTTAAGAGATGCCACATTTGAACAGAAGTCAACAATTCAAGTTTATAAAAAGATTAAATCTGAACTATGGAATCTCGAGTGCAGGGTTGCTGAAATCCATCCCAGTGTCCTAACCACACATATACTCTTGTGACCCATTAGGTCCCCAATCCTGACAATTCCTAACAATCCCTAATTGCTAGGTCATAACATAAGACCTAATTAGGAATTGTTAGGAACTGTGAGGGTTGGGGACCTAATGGGTGAAGAGCAGTGCTTTTTTTGTTAAAAAAAAAAAAGGTGCCAGAACTCACACATGTCATACAAGCCGCCTTGCCTACCCTATAAGGTTCCATCCAAAAAAGGTGCCGGAACTCCATTCTGGGCGTTCTATGACAAAAAAAGCCCTGGTGAAGAGTATGCTGACTTGTGTGGTTAGGACACTGAGATGGATTTTAGCGAGACCCGAGTGCTGCTATGGGGCGGGCTTGAGCTCCCATCCTTCACTCCAGCTCTGCCGGGGACATGAAAAGAGCCCTCAACTGGGTGTCCCCAGGGCAATGGTGATGTCATTGTCTAATTCAACCTCCGGTCCGTGGATCGACACCAGGCCGCAGCATGCCAGCAACAAGTCCGCACACACAAGCAAAGCCCCATCCATGGGATGCAGGCAGCACACAAAACCACCCCTCCTCCAGTCCACAGAAAAACCTCTCTCCAAGTAACTGGTCCCTGGTGCCCAAAAGGTTGGGGGCCTCTAGTTTAATCCTTTCAACCCGGATGTGCCTTGGTGCTTCTGACACAAGTGGAGAACCTAATGGGTCTGGGTGTAAAGGAATGTGAAACAAACATTTTCTGATTTAACAAAGAAACTAATTCATCAGAAAATATCCATGAATTTAACTTCACAGTGCTCTGGATAGTATCTTTTTCCTTTTCTTTTCCCACAGGCCTACAGCCCTGAAGACATGAAAAGTTGGATCAAAGAGATTTCGGGTGCGGTGCAGGCATTAAAGAGCTGTCCCAGAGTAGGTGAAATTCTTTCCACTTTGACTATGGCATCAGTTCGCTGTTTTTGTTTTGCTTCTTTGAAGCAGAGGTCATCTGTTTTCATAATGTCAAGCAAACATTTGAAAAAGAGCTCATTTCCAGAAGAGTTTTCTCCAGCCATCTGAATAAATAAATACATACCGTAAATAACAAGATCACAAATGGACTGCAGGGAACGACAGGGAAAATTAGAGGTGTGGGTCATTAAGCTATCTGCAGCTTTGGGCCATTTTCATGAGACATTTGGCCAAACTTTAGAGTTAGGTCACTTCTTGTCAAACAATCCAAGCTCCCAAAATCTTTTAACTCTCTTTCCCATTCCCCAAATTTTGAGATTTGTCTCTGTTCGTTTTAAGCCGAGGAGCCAATGGCATGGGTGAAGTATCTTAGCAAAATGTTTAAAGTCTAACTCTCAGCAGCCTCAGCCCCATGATGAAAAATGAAAAAGACTACCTGTATTGATTCTTAGCTGCCACTGATCTTCTGGTTTTTGCCTTGCAGGAAATGTCTTTGGTGAGATCAGTGTCAATGGATAAACGGGGTAGTCCCATCTTGTCCAGCTCCACCACGTCATCCATTGCGTGGCTAAAGCAGCGAGGAGAGGAGTCCAGGGTTGGTCACAAAGGTCCCTCCACTTCTTGCTGGCTGCCGTGGATGCCTGTGCCGCAGTTGGAGGAGAAGCAACAGCCGATATCCAAGGAACAGGCTGAAGAGCTGAGCAACTCTGGGTTTGCCCCTGTGTCTGCTGAACGACATGCTGGTGAGACCCAGGTCAGGCGTGTCCGACATAGGTCGGAACCCCAGAACTTTAAAGAGCACCGCTTTCTGATTGACTTGGAGGATGAAAACATCCGAACCTCAGATGTGTGATTGTGCAGCAAGGTGGACGTTGCCAGGAAACAGGCATTTTAAGGATGGGATGTTCTGGATGAACACTAGTTAGCTTGCACCAGCTCCAGACGGAACAGATACTGCAATGCAACAAATTTAAAGCTGAGAAGAATCTACACTTACATGTGGATTGTATGTTCTGCTGGAGTCTTCTCCAGATCAAGCACAAGTCAGAGGGTTGCCAGAGTATTCAAGATGATCCTGTTTCAAGTTTGTTGAGGATGCAAAACCATACAAAGGGTTCTCACATTCACCACGAGAAGCTGTTCCTTCCGCCATCATTGCTTCCTGTCTGGTGAAGGGAAGGCCACATTGTTCAGTTGGAGGCCTTGATAAACATGACACTTTCCTGTCTGTTTGTGCAAAAAGGCTTTACTAGAATTACCTGGACCATACAGCAACTTAGTATATCTACTCTTCCTGTTGTGGTAGCTTGATCAGTGGATGAATTGAAGGCAGTTCACCTTGTTTAATGTCCAAATCTTAGGCTAGGAAGAGAGCTTGGAATTCCTTCCTTCCTTCCTTCCTTCCTTCCTTCCTTCCTTCCTTCCTTCCTTCCTTCCTTCCTTCCTTCCTTCCGTCCTCCCTCCCTCCCTCCCTCCCTCCCTCCCTCCTTTCTCTTAAGGATGAAAGTCTCAAATGAGAATATGAGGTTCCGGTACTTATCTGAGTTACAAGCTAGTCAAGATGTTGAGCTCTTCATAATATAATTGTATGCAGCAGGTAGCTTGGCTACCAAAAGTAACATGGCAAAGTGAAAAACATCCCTCAACAAATTCTAAGAAAATTCAACAGCAGTCTGGCAATAAGGTGTACATAAAAATCTATACCGAAGAAAGGAATTTTCAAGAAATTGGAGAGAGGAAACAGAGCAAAGACATCCTCATTGAAACAGCATCTTTTTCAGTTCTTCTTTGGGGCCTATGAGACTGTGAAAAAAATAATAATGGAGATACCAAAAAGGTTTTTTCCGTAGCGAATATCAAATGGTACTTTAGTATTGAGCAATGAGGTTGTCGTATGCTGGGCCATACCAAGTAATTGTTTTAATGACTGCGCAGGATTGATGGAATATTCCAGATTGGGATCTTTCCCGGTAACCTTTGGATCCTGGGCACCTGGGAGGGGGTGCAAGCAGGTGATATCCCCCGACATTTTGATCTATCGTGACAATAGTGGAGATGATGAACACCTTGCAAGGAGCAGGAAGATGTAGGTTTCGCTTAGCTTTTGCAAGACTGCTTCTTTCTCCTTTGGAATTTCCAAGGACAGCTGGGCTGGAGGGCAGAAGAAATTCAGTTCAGAAAAGGTGGGAGTCAGGAATATCTGGCTGTCACACAAAGGAGAAGAAAGGATGATCAACAGGACAACAGAAATTGAAGAACCACCCTTCCAAAACAAAATCCAGCTTCTTGCTTTGTTCTCATGTTAAGTCTTTCCCAAACTGGGACCTTGCAAGCTGTAGCTACCGTGCTTTCATTTGGGCAAAGCTACGGTAAATGAAGATGAGTTCCTAGTCTGCACTAAGTCAGCAGGTAGAGGGTACAGGAAGTTCTGGATGATGAGTAGAGGGAGGATGAAAACTCTTCTACGTAGATCTGTTCCCATTCTTCAATATTTCCTAGTACTGGCGAGAATCCCAATGTAGTCATCTTACTCCCCTTAAAAGAAAGCAGAACTTCAGCAGACATTGCAAGCACAGCAGTGGCGGTACAGATTTGCGACTTGAAAATGCACAATGCTTATCTTGACTTCCGATAGTTGGCAGGAAGCGTGCTTTGCAGCAGATGCGAAGGAACCGCGCTCCCATTTTGAGCCCTAGGGCTTACGGTTAAATCCTGTGTTCAGATGTGCAAAGACTACTCTCTTGCAGAATATTGTGAAATGTCTGTAAGATCAAGATTCTCAGGTGTGCATCTTTTTGTACCTCAGTTAATTCAGGAACATAAGAGGTTGGGTTTTTTTTTTTTAAAAAAAAAGCAGCGTGATCTCTCCTGTTGAGCCAGTTGGGTATTTTGCTGTTGCTTCCAGATTGGGTGCCAAGCATTTGACAAAATAATATTTGCTTGAGATGCGACGCTGTCGGTGAATTCGAACCCCTAACCATCGTGGATATTGCAAGGGAAGAATAGTGGCTGAAATCATCTACATTATTCTTACCTCCTCAAAGGGGGGGGGGAAGGAAAACGAAAACTTTAGCTGCAGCCGGTGTAATTTAGAGAATTTGAATAACTTGCATCTTTTCCCCCCCCCCCTTTCTGATGTCATGGAATTCTTGCGATGGGCATAACTCGGTCCGCAGCCTTGTGTGAAGGCTGCTATTCAGACTTGGAAGTAAGCTGCAAAACTCAAGTTAAGAGATCATGCTGCTCTTTGGTTTTATCATTCATAATTCAGAGGCAAGGAAGGAAAAAAGCAGGGTAATAAAGCGTTATGTTGTGGGCCACTTGATTGTTTTTTTGGACACCCGCTGGAAGGTGTGCTTTTTACTTGTAAATGAGTCCTGTGATGTTAAAGGGGGTTTGTTCCCAAATCAATAGACCCACAATTGCAGCTTTTGTCCACTTCTATGCTCTGGAGATTTTTTTAGCCATTGTTAATACATAAAATTATGACCAGAATTTTGCGCTGTCTCTCTCTTTTTTTTTCTCTTCTCATGTTGGATTTCACGTAAAATTAAATATTGTGTCCTGGTACAGGTAGTCCTCAACTTATGACCACAGCTGTGCCCTAAATTTTTATTGCTAAAAAGTGAGATTTGCCCCATTTTTATGACCTTTCTTGTTGTTAAATGAATCACTGCAGTTGTTAAGTTAGTAACCTGGTTGTTAAGTGACGCTGTCTTCCCCATTGACTTGGCTTGTCAGAAGGCTGCAAAAGGGGATCACGTGACCCCGGGATGGTGGAACTGTCATAAGTACATGCCAGTTGCCAAGCATCCAAATTTTGATCACATGACCATGGGGATATTGCGACGGTTACAAGTGTGGAAAAAAAATGGTCCTGTCACTTTTTTTCCAGTGCCGTTATAACTTCAAATGTTCACGGAGTGAACCATCGTAAGTGGAGGATTACCTGGACCACATTCAGCGCTTTTTTATACTGCCCTTGACTTACAACTACAATTGGGGACCAGAATTTCCAGTGGGTGTTAAGCGAGTCTGCCATAATTGTTAAGCGAATCTGAGCAGTTGTTCGGTAAATCAGAATAACAGAATAACAAGAGTTGGAAGGGACCTCGGAGGTCATTTAGTCCAACCCTCTGTTTGAGAAAGAGACCCTATACCATGTCAGACAAAGGGCTGTCCAGTCTCTTCTTAAAAACTTCCAGTGTTGGAGCATTCACTGCTTCTGGAGGCAGGTTGTTCCACTGGTTAATTGTTCTCACTGTCAGGAAATTTCTCCTTAGTTCTAGGTTGCTTCTCTCCTTGGTTAGTTTCCACCCGTTGCTTCTTGTCCTGCCCTCAGGTGCCTTGGAGAAGAGCTTGACTCCCTCTTCTTTGGGGCAGCCCCTGAGATACTGGAAGGCTGCTACCATGTCCCCCCTTGTCCTTCTCTTTGTTAAACTAGACATGCCCAATTCCAGCAGCCGTTCCTTATATGTTTTAGCCTCCAGCCCCCTAATCATCTTTGTCTCCTGCTTCCCCAAGAAAGGGTTTTTTTAAGAGCTACTTTTCTATGGCACCTGGGCTGTCTCTCAAACTTAGACTGACTGTGGGACTTTGCATCCTAACTCTTTGCTCTTCAATTTGATAAAAGTGACTTTTTTTCCCCTGCTTCTGGATGAAGGGCTCTCTCTTTCTTTGGAAGTAAGAAAGTTGTATGGAAAAGGGGGGGTCAATCAAAATCCCAATGCCCAAGGCCTTAAGAGCAAGAGTGGGCATTCCATCACAAAAGTCATATCCAGAATTCTGTATCAAATTAAGAGGGATCCATGGGAAGGCCCAAAAGTCAAGATGGCCACAACCAGTATTGACTTTGGTTGGCTGGGGGATTCTGGGAGCTAAAGTCCACCCGTCTTAAAGTTGTCGAGGTTGAGAAGTACTTGCTTAGTCAAGTAGGGTGAGAAAAAAATAATATCCAAGTTGGTTTTCTTGGTTTTTCCACTTCAGACAAATTGCACACAAAAAAGAGAAAGCAATGGTGCTGTTTTGCACACTGCTCAGAGAGTTCTGCTAATAATTCTCAGTTTTAATTCCAGGCCTGCAGCAAAAGTTATTTTGTTCCTTGAATGAAATTCGTCAACAGATCTGTTTCACCCATTGGAGTATTTGGTAATAAATCCATGGAGGGTTTTCCCCTTTAATAAAACATTCGAACATTTCAGTATGTATTTCTTCCCAGCTATTGAGCCATTTAAGCTGCCCCTTTTTAATTTTAGCTACAAAAATGAATTCATATTTTCCAGCATGGCAACAGCAAAATGACATAAACTTTGTGGGACCAACACAGGATAAGTTGTTTATTTGAAGGATAAAACTTCTATTGCCATAAACATGTTCTTCTACTTGCATTTTTTTTCCTCATCTGCTAGCAAAGGCGCATGCAACCCTTGGCCAAAATTGGATTAATTTTAAATATTTATTTCCTGCTCTGCTGTGAGCCCATCAAACATAGTCAGTAGCAAATGTGTGATCACTGAGGTTATATTAAATCCATGGTCTGTTGAATTGTTATTTATCGAATAAAGTTGAATAGCCTGGATTCAACCAGGTAAGTATTTAAATACAATAATGATCCTGTACTGGAGGCCTGTTCTAAAGCCATTTCTAAATTAGAAGGCATCTGGCAAAGAAAGCGAGGAGAGATTAATAAAGATCAATGCAGCATCCCTTTTTGGTGTGCATTGCAAAAAAAATAATATTAATGTTAAAATATTAATAGAAAAGTTAGGAAAGATTCAAAGGTAGCAACCTAAAATCCTGATCTAGCGCCACAGCCCTGGTTCCACCCGGACGTTCGCCCGCGCTCGTCTGTGCTTTGCTTGGTTTCTGGCTAAGAGCTATGCACGTCGAGCTTCGAGTTTGATCCACCATCCTCTGCCCTTACTTCAAGGCGACTGGAGGGGGGTGGCGAGTGGGTAGCAACAGCCGCCCACGGGCCTCCGCCCCCTTGGCCGGCCCGACCCCGTCTGGCTTCCCCGCATAAAGCTTGCGAGCCGTCGGCGCGGCTACCTAGTCTGGTTCCTGCACCCATCGCCATGGCGCACCGGTCGCCGCTCTTGCTTCTCCTCCTCCTCCTGCCGGCCTTGCTGGCCGCTCCTTCCAGCCCGTTGCCTCCCTGCCCAGCGGAGTGCCAGCCGATGCGCTGCCCGCCGCGCTCCGCGCAAGCCTGCCTGGCCGTCGGGGGCGAGCTCCAGCTGGACAGCTGCGGCTGCTGCTGGGACTGCGCGCCTGGCGAGGGTCAGCCATGCGCGCCAGGCGGCTTCTGCGCCCGGGGCTTCTTCTGCCACAGGCGGCCGGGCAGCCCCGGACCGGGCACCTGTTCATGCGTGGAGGGGCCCCTGGGGATCTGCGGCAGCGATGGGCGCACCTACAGCAGCCTTTGCCAGCTGCGCGCCCGGAACCACCAGTCCAGCTCAGACCACCAGTCGCCTGTCGTCCCCGTCCATAAAGGCAACTGCGGAGAAGCAGGTGGGTGTGGGGTCCTCGGAGGGAGGGGGGGGTAGAGGAGAAGACTGAGGCTGGCCTTCCTACTTGGGGCCACAGCTTGGCTGGAAACCTGGAATCTGTTCCTGGACACCTTAAACTGGCTAAACACAAAAGGAATTTGCAGAAGTAACCATTCCCCCCTTCCACACCGTTTCTCTTGGAAAGGAAAAACTAACCCTTTTGGAGACAGGCAAGGTCCCTGCCTCCCCCCCCCCCCACATACACACATTTGCACATGCGGATGGCCAGACACAGGTCAAAATGGGAGCTGGGAAAGTGGTGAGGACTGGCTTGGGAGAAGCCTTTTTTAAAATGTGAAACACTTAACATACAAATGGCGTGATGGGCTTGATGGATGCCAGTGCCCTGATTTCCACATTGTGTTAAGGCTTCACGTATTGCTTCAGTAGGACTGAATGAATAAAGCTGAATATTTGTAGCTCAGGGTGAGAATGAGGGGGTCCTTTGTGTTTTCTGAGCTTCTTTTCTTGCAAATGTTTCATTAGCCAAATAGACAACATCTAACGAGCACAGATGACGTTACCTAGTTTGGATAGCGGAAAGTCTGCAAGAAAACAGCCAAGCTCAGAGAGCATCCAGGAGCCCTCATGATTGAACCAACACAAGTTGCATTCCTCAAATTCATATTATAGGAATCATAGTACCTGGATGAATTGAAGTAGTCCGTTGCCTCATAACAGTGGTGGCGAACCTATGGCACGCGTGCCAGAGGCGGCACTCAGAGCCCTCTCTGTGGGCACGCGTGCCGTTGCCCCAGCCCCGCCTCCCCCCACGGCCCCCTTTTCACCAGCAGCCTCCCTGGAGGAGAGTCAGCCCTGAGCGTGGTCTGCGTGGAGCAGCGCAGCCAAGGACATGGCAGCCGGGCAGCGGGGACAAGACTCCGCCCTTGCGCCCCATCGCACGCAGATGCTGCTGTGAGGCGCGGGTGGAAGGCATGGCTGCTATGGCGCTGCTGGGCCACCTGGGCGATCTGCTGTGGTGGGCCGTGGAGGCAATGGGTGGCCTTGCAGGGGGTGGGGAAGAGCAGATGGGGCACGGAGTGGGACAGGCAGGGTGGCAGGGCGGTTTTGGGGCACCCAGTCTCTAAAAGGTTCGCCATCACTGCCTTATAATCATACCATCTTATATCAACCCTAGTGAAGGAGCAGTTAAATTAGTCTGAAAACCAGCTCAGAGAGCCAAAGCAGATTCACACAGTATGATAAGCCTGAAGAAAACAAACCACTATCCTATTAAGTGGGTTTCTCAACTAAGCTGTAATTTCTACATTTGCTTTTTGCCCATTCACTACATTCTGTACTGAAAGAGTCCAGCAAATTGTGATTTATTTAGCTAACTGGGATTAAGAAAACATGCATTAGTTGAGCCAGGAAAGAGTTGTATGTACTATTTTATCCGGTCTGTGGTCTCTCCTGTCTTGGGATGCAATAAAGAATATTGCTGTCTATTCACCAGTGATGATGTGAATTGGAGTCCTGTCTATCTCTGTGGATGACACCAGTTTATGAAAAGATGCGTCTGGAAACGCCTCATATTACATCAATCTGTTGTTCATCCAACTAAATCTAACCTGGTGGTATCATTTTCCATGCAATGGTTTTCTAAGGGGGTTCGGGGCTCAGTAACCCCAAATCCTCATGTGTTCTAGCATTGCATCCATGAACTGGGGGAGACATTGTTCTACAGGTGCTGTGGATCTCAACAGCCCAAGGAATAAATTTAACTTTATTGCTGACGTGGTGGAAAAAATTGCTCCGTCTGTGGTTCACCTGGAACTCTTTCGCAGGTAAGAGAAACTGTTTGTAGGTAGTGACATGGAGCAAGTTCTCTCTAGATGAAATTGATAAGTCTCTGTGGGTATTGACATTAACCAAACTCTGGCTAGATACTGAAAATGACCTTGTGTCTGCCCTTAAAGCAGGGGTGTCAAACTCGCAACGTCACGTGACGTGTCGCGACGTATCATGACTTTTTTTCCATTGCTGGCAATGGGGTGTTTCTCATCTTCTTGACATCTTTGAATGAGTGGGTATTAATTTTCAGAAATTCCCAGGCCGCTGATCTTAAATTGCTGGGGTTGAGAAATACACTGCCTTATACTCTAAACTTGGCAATGATGGATTTATTACGCTTTTTGTCTGTCTGCCTGGGTCAGGGCGCCCTCCACAAGGAAAGAGGTCTTGGTCTCCAGTGGCTCAGGCTTCATTGTATCTGAAGATGGGTTAATCCTCACCAATGCCCATGTTCTCAGCAAGAAGCAGAGAATCAAAGTCGAGCTCAAAACTGGCCATCAGTTGGATGCCCAAATCAAAGACGTTGACCATAAACTGGACATTGCTCTGATAAAAATAGACACCCAGGTGAGTATAGAGCCTTCTCATTCCAATGGGGCAAAATCTCTCTTGCATGTTGAGAAGGAAGGAAGGAAGGACTCACTGGAGAAGAGCCGAATGCTGGGAAAGACGGAGGGCAAGAGAAGAAGGGGACGACCGAGAAGGAGGTGGCTGGATGGAGTCACTGAAGCAGTAGGTGTGAGCTTCAATGGACTCCAGAAGATGGTAGAGGACAGGAAGGCCTGGAGGAACATTGTCCATGGGGTCGCGATGGGTCGGACACGACTTCGCAACTAACAACAACAACAAAGAATAGAAAGAGAGCAATGTTTGAGAGAAAGACTCACTTTGCTGTTTAACGACCACAAGGAACAATGCTGGCCTTTTTGCGTATTCACTTATGGCTGATCCTTAGAGACTAGGAGAAATGGTTGCCTCCAAAGTCTGAATTTTGAACATTATTCTCCCCGTGCCAGGTAGCCCTCCCAGTGCTCCTACTGGGCAGATCTTCTGATCTTCGGCCTGGAGAGTTTGTGGTGGCTCTGGGGAGTCCTTTCTCCTTGCAAAACACAGTGACGACCGGAATCGTAAGCAGTACCCAACGAGTTGGCCGGGATCTTGGGATGAAGGACTCCGACATGGAATATATCCAGACAGATGCCATTATCAATGTAAGAGACTTCTCTGTGTTGAAGTGGATCTATCTCAATTTGGGGGCAAAGTATAGGGGCAGTGGTGGCGAACCTATGGCACGTGTGCCAGAGGCGGCACTCGGAGCCCTCTCTGTGGGCACATGTGCTGTCACCCCAGCCCCGCCTTCCCCCGGGGCCCCCTACTTACCAGCAGCACCCCCAAGCACAGCCCATGCGGAGCAGCACAGCAAGCACATGGAGCTGGGCAGCTGAAACAAGACTCTGCCCTCGCACTCCACTGTGCACAGATGATACTGCAGGGTGTGAGCGAAGGGCATGGCCGCCATGGCACTGCTGGGCCACCTGGGCGATCTGCAGTGGGTCATGGAGGCGGTAAGTGGCCCTGTGGGAGGGCAGGGTGGGGGCAGAGCAGGCTGGGGATGGGGCGGAGCGGGGCAGGGGTGGTTTTTGGTCTCTAAAAGGTTCACCATCATTGGTATAGGGTTATTACCCCTTGACAGGCAGTTGACACTGAAACCTCTTCCCTGCCACCTTCTTCCCCTTCCACAATTTTGATTAGTTTCATGTCCACCTTCTCTTAGAGCAGTGTTTCTCAACCTTGACCATTTTAAGGCATGTGGACTTCAACTCCCAGAATTCCACAGCCAGCAATGCTGGCTGTGGAATTCTGGGAGTTGAAGTCCATATGCCTTAAAATGGTCAAGGTTGAGAAACACTGTCTTAGAGCTAGCAGTGGAATGGAAGGGGTGGACTAAAGGACCTCTGACCTCCCAATTTTTATAGTGAAACGTATGTGGATTTGAACTTCGGTTGGTAGATTCCAGAGCATTCCACTCTTGCCTCAGACATTTGGAAGCATCCTAAAGGTTGCATATCCCAAGAGAAACCCTTGTTCCATTCAGTAGAGTTCTTCTTTTATCTTAAAGATATCTAGTCTTAGACAATACCTGGCAGCAGAAATAGAACCTATAGAATGATAGGATTGGAAGGGGCTTTGAAGATCTTCTATTTCAACCTCTGCTCAAGCAGGAGATCCTACAATATTCAAGGCAAATATTTATCCAATCTCTTCTTGACAACCTCCAGTGTTGGAGCCCCCACAACATCTGGAGGCAAGCAATTCTATTGACTGATCATTCTCACTTTCAGGAAATTGCTCCTTAGTTCTGAATGGATCTCTCTTTGATAATCTTCCACCTGTTACTTCTCATCCTGCCCTCAGGAGTTTTGGAGAATAAATCGACTCTCTCTTCTCTGTGCCAGCCCCTCAAATATTGGAAGGCGGCTGTTATACCCCTAATTCTTCTTTTGGTTAAATTCACTAGACCAGGGGTAGGCAACCTTGGCTCTTTTATGACTCGTGGACTTCAACTCCCAGAATTCCTGAGCCAGCATGAGGGAACTATGGCCCCTTCATGACTCAGGGACTTCAACTCCCAGAATTCCTGAGCCAGCATGGCTCAGCTTGGAAACCTTTCCTGTTCCCCTCAGCATGGCTGGCTCAGGAATTCTGGGAGTTGAAGTCATGAGTTATAAAAGAGCCAAGGTTGCCTACCCCTGCACTAGACATACCTAAGTCCTTCAATCATTCAATGCACAGTTTAGCCTCCAGAACACAGGACATAGAATAATTGAGTTGGACTTTGGGGCTTTTGGAAGAAAAAGTTTTCCATGATACAATCCCTTCCTTCCTTCTTTTCTCATTCACAGTATGGAAATTCAGGAGGGCCATTGGTGAACTTGGTAAGGACGGTTGATTTTTTTCTTTGTCTTTTCTAAACCCCAACAATCTTCCCCTTCGTTGTGGACTTATTAAGTTTTGTTCATGGCGTATAAGTCACAATTATTTGGATTCACACAACAACAATAAAAACAAAACTCCAAACCAAGCAAGCCAGAGTATAACTCAGAATGTGTGAATCCGTCATCAGAATGAGTGATAAAAAGTGAATTGGGAGACACGTAAACACGACAGCTTAAAAGGCCGGAGGTCTTTTTTTTTTTTGTCTTGTCCAGGGCAGTGGACAAAGAATATTTACAGGGATGTAAGCTTTGGCTTGAATCCTTCTTTTCACTTTCGCCTGCTCCTCTCCACAGGATGGTGAAGTCATTGGAATGAATACTCTGAAGGTCACAGCTGGCATCTCTTTTGCCATCCCCTCCGACCGGATCCGCCACTTTCTGGAAGAAACTCACAACCGACAGGTGAAAGGTAGTATCTCAGGAAATTGCTCAAGTGACTCTTGGACACAGCGAGTACAATGAAGGGCAGGGACCTCACCGTGGAAGAACATTCCACTCATTTGTTAACTAACCCTTATCTTTTCATCTTTTTTTAATTTGACCTTCGGAGTATGCTTTTAACTTCCTGCTTCTCTCTAGGTAGAACCACTCCCAAGAAGAAGTATCTGGGACTCCGCATGGTCCCCCTTTCTTTCAAGTAAGTCATTCCTCTACCTTTCTTGTCCTAACACAAGCTCTATTATCCATCTCTCTCTCTCCCCCTCTCCCTCCCTCTCCCTCTCTCTATTCTATTCTATTCTATTCTATTCTATTCTATTCTATTCTATTCTATTCTATTCTATTCTATTCTATTCTATTCTATTCTATTCCATTCCATTCCATTCCATTCCATATTGTCTATTCTATTCTATTCCATTCCATTCCATTCCATTCTCCTGGTGGTAGAGATTTTATTTCACATTCAACGGTTGCGGCCATATTGCTTTTTATCTGTTGGTTTGAAAACGGCCACTCAAATCACTTCTTGCTAATTTCTGAGAAAGTTAGAAGGATGTCACACCTGTTATTTGTTCTATAGGCCTGTTATTTGATCGGTAGGCCTTCCCCCACCTAGCACCTTCCAGGTGTGTTCACCTTTGACGTCACTAACTAGGGTGGGAATTGTAACCTAATATATGTCTGGAAGAACTTTCTAGTGGCATAACCTGAGATATCTTAAGAGAGTTTGGAGCTGCTGCTGCTGCTGGAACTGTTATTCTCTCTCTCCTAGTCTCATCCGTGAGCTGAGACGGCATAATCGAGATTTTCCCAACCTGAGGTCCGGTGTCTATGTTTATGAAGTGATACCAGGAACAGCTGCTGCAAGGTAAGAGATGAGTGCTTGCTTCCTCAACTTTCAATAGAAGAGAATATATGTTCACCTGTGAGATCCTTGGTGGTCTCTGCTTGCAGATGTGTCATGACTGGACTAGGTAACATCATGCTGATGCTGATGTTGATGATCACAGTGAAGTTACCTAGTCAGATGATGAAACATCTGCAAGCAAACAACCAAGCTCAGAGACCACCAAGGAGCTCCCAGGTGAACCTATATTCTCTTCTATTGAAAGTTTTGGAACTCCACATTCCAAAACTTTATCTACTTCCTCTCTATGTTGTTTTTGGCTCAAAAAGGACAGTCAAGGCAGTTTACTTCATCTTGGAACATGGTGCAAATCCACACTTCACAAAGTCTCCTTCAGAAGTCTTTCTTTTGACTGGGTTCACACATTACACTAAGCCAACAATTTATTTTGCTTGATTTTGGTTTAACACAGTGTTTATTTACGCATTTCCAACTACTCTTTCTGCCTTAGTGTGCCTTAGTCCAAACCCAACCCACTGAATTTACTGAACCAACCTTATTTCAGCAGGCCAGGAATTATCATGACTTGTGAACTCAGCCACATTTCATTGAGTTATCCACAGTGCTTCTTTCTGAGTCAGATGTGATCAACTCAAACACACTGCAGTGCATCATTTTACTTTTGCCTCCACTATGTTGCATTTGTTGTGCTCCTCTTTAGTTTGAGGAAATCTTTTTGCTGCGCTTCACTGTCCTCTCAACCATGTTTCAACATCACTTTTTCATAAAAATCTCCCATGTTGTTAAGTTTCCTATGGGTCAGATATGGAGGAAGAAGAGTGAGGTTTCCATCGGCACCACAGTTCCTAAAATTTTGCTTCCAAAACTCTAGCTTCTCTACAAAGCATGTGTGTTGGTTGATCAAGAACCTGACCTGAAATGGCCATGTCAGGTAAGATGAGGGTACTTCATCTTACCTGACATCACTTGCCCTGATGATGGATTTTACTGATTTTTGTTGGTTTTCTTTCCTGCTTTGGGTTACAGTGCTGGTCTGCAAGATGGAGATGTCATCATAGCAATAAATGGAAAACCAGTCACCTCAATCCATGATGTGACAGAGGCTGTTCAAAACAACCGTACCCTGTCAGTAGTAGTGAGACGAGGAAATGAAGACATCATTCTGAAAGTAACTCCAGACGAAATCGATTAAATTTGACCTTCTCTAACCCAACGGGTGTTGGAATCTTCAGTTGCTGTCAATAAAAAAAGCTTAGGAAAAAAATCTATAGTTTACAGAGAGTTTTTTTTCCTGAATGTGTATATCAGGGGTCTTCAAACTTGGCCCTTTCATGACTTGTGGACTTCAATTCCCAGAATTCCTCAGCCAGGCACCTGTATCACAGGTACCATGGGGAAAATAGGGCAACATAACATCTATTGCGCAACATTCCAGAAATGGGCTGCAGTACCAAGGAAAGGCAACAGGATGCTATGTCCATTATCCATAATGCATTTTCCTACATTCTGCCTTAAGCACCCTACAGTTGCTTCAACGTCTTGGAAATTTACAGAACCATTTGTAATTATATTTTTTACTTTTGTTTAGATCAGGGGTTCTCAAACTTGGCAACTTTAAGACTTGTGGACTTCAACTCCCAGAATTCCTCAGCCAGCAATTCTGGGAGTTGAAGTCCACAAGTCTTAAAGTTGCCAAGTTTGAGAACCCCTAGTTTAGATGGAAAGATTTACCTGGAAACCAACTGGAGTCAAGATGAGTTGTAGCAATACTATTCAGCTCGTTGCGCCCTACATTCTTAGCCCTTGAGCTCCTATTGAGTTTCAGGAAGGCAGTAATGCTATGAAAAGTTTGTATTCCCCTATTTTCCCTATGGAGTCTACAATACCCAAAGTAGCCGCAAGGGGCAGTATGTCCTGCCTGCAGAACAGATTGTCAAATCTGCCATTTTGAGAATACGAGTAATGCTTCTCAACAGCTTGCACCCAGATAAGCAGAGCTTAAGAGCAGAAAAACAACGAAGCAGAAAACAATATTCTAATCAACGTTGTGGGGTGTGGTACAGAGTCACAGGAGGGAGGTGGTCTTTCCCAAAAAGCCAAGAAACAAGTCATCGTGGAATCCTTGGTATGCAGGAAGAGAGCCAAGGTTTTCACAGCTTATATCTAATAGTTATTCAGATGTGTGCTTTAGTCTGGCAAGATTCCTGTCTATAGGCGAGCAAAAATAAACAATGAAGTAACTCCTCGTGTAGTCCTTGGTTCCTTGTGCCTGACTCCAAGGAACTAACAAAGAGAAAAGCATACCTCCACCCACATTGGCAAGGACCACTACTGTATATAAACGGGGAATAAACCCCACACTTACTAGCACAGATAACATTACCTACTTGGGTAATGAAAGGTCTACAAGCAACAAGCTCAGAGGATAGCAAGGACTCCATATTTCAAATCTTGAGCTATGTACATTCTCTTCTAATGGAATCAGTGACATATCATGATTTCAATGGGGAAAATAAGGCAATGTAGTGGAATATATAGAAAATACTGCCTCCTAGTGGCTCAATGAGTTGTTGCAGCTCTATGGGTTAAATAAGAAAATATAATGGAGTGTACAACATAGGAAATACTGACCAAGAGTATTTACAGGCTCTATGGTGGGAAATAATGCAATACAGTTATTTCTAAAAAATAATAAAGGTGGGATACAAATAAATAAAAATAAGGGAATGTATAGAAAATACTGCCCCCAGTGGGTCAATCAGGTATTTCAGATTGTTTACATTCCATTATATTGCCATTAGAGTCAATCATTCTTCACTAACCCATCAGTGGGGCATTATTTCCTATATATATTAAATTATATGAACCTGTTTAACCCAGTGAGCCTACAGTACCCCACTGAGACAGCAGGGGGAAAATATTCATCCTGCTGAATGCAAACCCATGCCATCAATATCGAAATGATAGGCATGACATGTTTTCTTGTACTTCTTTCCTGTTTGTCTTTTTAAACTGAGAAAATAGAACATGGTGCCCGAGGCATGCACATTTCAAACAAAGGTGTACTGTATATGCACGTCTATCAACCGCTGGATCTGAAACGAGGAACAAATGTTTGCATAAGGCATGGCACGGTTGTGACAGAGCATGAAAAAGGTAATAAAAGTCTCAGATCAGTGTTTCTCAACCTTAACAACTTTAAGAAGCATGGACTTCAACTTCAATTCACTTGAATCATATGACATACTAAGACCACAAGGCAGTCATATTCATTTGCCATTTAAGGTTACAATGTGTGTGGCTTACGTGTGTTAGGAGCACAAATAGTACACTACTGTACCATAGGAGGGAGCTATTGACCTGCTGTCTGCTCCACGTTGGTGCCAGCAGAACGTTGAGCTAAGAAGTATTGTAGTTTAATGCTCCCAGAATGATGAATTGACACACAAGATAAAAGAGTCTCTATGATTAACTCATCCTGTTTTTTTGCCTTAGAGTACAGACACAGAATAACATCTTAAACTATAAACTGGCAATTGCCAGTTGAACGTTAAGAACAACCGCTTAGCAGGAGTTTGACAGTGGCTGTAATGATTAAGAGAGGTGTTGAGTAGATAAATTCAGCAGATATATTCAAACAATGGTTGAATGTATGGGGCTGCTTAAATTGCTCCTGAACTGAGCAATTGTTTAGATTTGATGGCCTAAAATTCCCTTTTACAATTCAGTTCTATGTGATTTGAGATGATAGATAGATAGATAGATAGATAGATAGATAGATAGATAGATAGATGGATGGATGGATGGATGGATGGATGGATGGATGGATGGATGGATGTTGTTAGTTGTGAAGTCGTGTCCGACCCATCGCGACCCCATAGACAACGTTCCTCCAGATCTTCCTGTCCTCTACCATCTTCTGGAGTCCATTTAAGCTCACACCTACTGCTTCAGTGACTCCATCCAGCCACCTCATTCTCTGTCATCCCGTTCTTCTATTGCCCTCAATCTTTTCCAGCATTAGGCCCTTCTCCAGTGAATCTTTCCTTCTCATTAAGTGACCAAAGTATTTGAGTTTCAACTTCAGGATCTGGGCTTCTAAAGAGCAGTCGGGGCTGATCTCTTCTAGGACTGACCAGTTTGATCACCTTGCAGTCCAGGGGACTCGCAGGAGTCTTCTCCAGCACCATAGTTCAAAGGCCTCCATTCTTTGTTGCTCAGCCTTTCTTATGGTCCAACTTTCACAGCCATACATTGCAACTGGGAAAACCATGGCCTTGAAAATACGCATTTTTGTTGGCAGGGTGATGTCTCTGCTTTTTAGTATGCTGTCTAGATTTGCAATAGCTTTCCTCCCCAGGAGCAAGCGTCTTCTAATTTCTTGGCTGCAGTCCCCATCTGCGGTGATATGGATGGATGGATGGATGGATGGATGGATAGAAGATAGATAGATAGATAGATAGATAGATAGATAGATAGATAGATAGAAGAGAAAGAGAGAGATGATAGGGAGGGAGGGAGAGAAAATGTGTGAGAGAAAGATACTTAGAGTTTGGTCTTGTGGTTAAGGCACAGAGTAGAAACCAGAAGACTGAATTCTAGTTCTGCGTTAGGCATGAAAGCTACCTGGGTGGCTTTGGGCCAATCACCAGGAAACTGTGAGTTCACTGGAGGCAAGAAAATTGGCTGGGTGACTTTAGGCCAATCTCTCTCTCCCTCTGTCAGCCCAACCCATCTCACAGGATGTTGCCGTGGAGAAAATAAGAGGAGGAAAGAATATGTTTGGCACCTTGAGTTATTTATAAAAACAATAAAGGTGAGATAATAAAGAAAGAAATGATGTCCCTTAATTGAAAAATGAAGCTAGTAACCAAGCATCTATACCTGCTTGACCACTGCCAAGTTCCACGCATACAGTACTAGCTGCCCTATTCTATGATAAGCAACGTGACCATCAAACATGGATATACTTTCAGACCATCAGTTCTGCTTCCCTTCTCTAAGAACGAATATCAGAAAATATATCTTGATACAGTTAAATGAATATTATGGCGCTTGATTTGCACAACACTGCGTTCATTAAAGCAAATAGTCAGGACATAAACAACTTGACAGGTTTTTGAGAAATCGTATTTGTTGCCCTTGTTGCTGGTTGCAAAGAAATCAGGGTAAAACCTAATCTGATTTCTTCTCCCACACCAGTTCCTTCAACCCTCCCTTGTTTTTATAATGGGCTTCCATAAAAGGTGAAACAGGAGCCTCAAGATTGATATGTAAAGAGGGAATCATTTTATTTTATTTTTTACTCTGATGGCCAGTGGGAAAAAAATGGCTCAACGTTTGTTGTCTTGAAAAGGGGTGAAGTTAGGATTTAAACTCCGCAGCTGACGTAGGAACATGGGGCTTAATTCTTGAGATCTGCGGTTGGCAAATCTCATGTGTATAAATTATTATTTTTTTCTTGTCTACAATAAATTACTTACCTAGTCATGTCAAGTCTGGGAGGCTTCTGATGCTATTAAATGCAAGGTTGTTTCTGGAGAGTTGATATTTATTGCTATGCTGTGAAGTGTGACAGCTTCCAACTGACCTCTTTTAACCAAAAAGTTATCGGTGATTCAGGATTAGCATTCCACAAGGAGCTCATACTTCGAATTAAATCAACAACAAAACACGAACCCATGTCTACAAGAAAGTAGGAACTGAAAAGGGGGAATATTTGTCATCTATCTTTCTATATCTATCTCTCTATCTCTACCTATCTTCATCTCTCTCTCTCTCTCTTTTTCTCTCCTATTGTCTACCTATCTACTCTCTCTCTCTATTATCTATCTACTTACCATCTATCTTTATCTATCTATCTATCTATCTATCTATCTATCTATCTATCTATCTATCTATCTATCTATCTAATCTTATGCACACACTATTAAACTTTGGAAAGCTTCTGTATTTTAAGTATTGTATATCCCATTATTATTAAATCTTGCTATTTGCTACCCATCCATAGGTCATGAATATGGATGACCCATGAAAAATGGTCCTTGAAGTGGCTGCTTTCAATGGCAGGATTCCCACAGCAGCTGGCTAGCTTTTGGGTGGTTTCATGTGTTGTAAATCTCAACCCTGCAAATAAACAAATTCAGTACCTGAGTTAAACCTGGCATGTTAATTCGTAATTCATAATCTGAAGACTTTTGAGACTTAGATCCAATCATCATTAGCTTAGCAGTCTTAACGCTTAATGCAGCAGAAAAGCAATGG